TGCTGAAAACGGGTCTAACGGGCGTGGTGTCTGCCCTAAGCGCTGCCTGCCTGCGCTTGGGCGCCAAGCAGGCTCAGATGATAGGAGCACTTCAGGCCGCCTTACATGTGTCTGGCGACAAGGAGAAATCCAAGATGTTCTTTAATTGTCTTGTTAAACTGAAGCCCCATGAGCTTATCGCCGACGATCAGTCCGCCTTCGTGCATCTACATGGATCACTTATAGTGCAACATGTGCTTCAGTTTAATAAGCCCATCTTCCTAGTCAACTGCATTCTGGAGCTGCCTGCTGTGCAGCTGGCGCAAATCTTTAACACGCCCAATGGCTCGCACATTGTCGATGCCTTCTTGCAGAGCAAATACATTGGAGAGAAGTCACGAGAGCGTCTTATCCGCCAGCTAGATGGCTTCTATGTGGACCTGGCTATCACCCGGCACGGCTCACGCGTCATGGAGCAATGTTTCAAGGCTGCACAAGAAGCGCAAAAGCTGCGCATGGCTAAGGAATTGAGCTCTAAGACCAACATGTGAGATTCGTGAGATTCAGATAGCGCACACGATCCTGTGATGACGGCGGCTCGCTGCTCGTTAGCAGCGGCATTAGCTGCCCGCCCAATCTGTCCACAGTAAGGTACAATAAGTCGAAGGCACGCATAAGATTGCGTATGGCGGCGGCATCGCTAGCCGTGTTTTCGATTATCGAGTAGTATGTATCAAAGTGCTCAAATATATAGAATGGATCCCGCTGATGCACTTTATTTTTACATGCTGCGAATAAACGGATTGCAGTTAGCGTTTGTTTTACTGTACGTGATTGTTTGAATTACAGGCGCGCTGCTGCGCATACAATAAGTAACAGTCCGCTTACCAAGTAATTGCTCTGGTATTTCGCTGGGCGTGTATATCTGTTGTACGTAGTACTGATCGCCGCGTGAATTAAGTAAATCATTGTTTTTTATTGGTAAAATAAACTGAAAATCGTGCGTCTCTTCCATTTTAAAACCGTTTGCTTAAAAAGCGACGCTTGTTGTTGTAGTTATTAGCGATGGGCGCCTGCTAAAAATAAAAGATTACAGTCTGGCAACGCCGCCGAACGATAACAATCGGCAGCACATCCAGTTGTCCTATCGGAACGCGTGTTGTACGGCGCACGTTGTGATTGAGTTTTGGTTTGTACTAAATAGCAGCATAATAGACGATCATGCCAGCTGAAAAAAGTGGCAAACGTAAAAGGCCCAAGAAGAAGGGAAAGAAATTTATGCGCAATGCAAAAGGCTTTGCCAAACAGGGTATTTTTGGACGCGGCTCTCATATTGATGGTGATCAGTTCAGCTACTTTATAAACATTTTGGATGCCATGAAAGCAGGTCTCGAAGATGTGGAAGAGCGAGGTGAGTGGCGATTGCCTTAATGCTGTGAAAATCTAGAGTAGTTTTGTTGTTCCTATAGTCAATATGGCCAATAACGTGTTCGAGCAGACAAAGGACCACGAAATCGACTTGGCCTCCAATCAAGTTGTCTCCAAGGCTCTTGAGTCTCTAATTGGATTTGTGGAAGCTCCACAGCTTGAACGGTTTTTTACCAAATTCGGCGACAGCCTGCGTCCCATGTGTTCCGACCCTTTTGCATCGCATGTGCTGCAAAAAATGGTGGAAATTGCATTCCTTCGAGGATTGGGACAGACAGCAGCCCGGGAACCGCCAGAAGACGATGTTTCTGACCCACCCAAGAAAGCCAAGCCCGATGTCGCGCAGATCGAAGAGCAGTACAATTTGGAGACCGAATTTAGCGAGGAGCATCGCGAGCAGTGCCGCCAATTCGTTCTACGCATATCAAAATTCATGCTTAACAATCTGGAGGATTTTGTTTGGGATGCATGCGCCACGCACATCATGCGAACAGCTATACTCTGCCTTGTTGGCATCCATGTGCCTAAAATTGCTTTCGTAAAGGGCGGCGCCGAGCTGACCAAGCATCGCAAACTTTACAAGGTGCCCGAAGAATGGTCTGAGGTCATGAAGGAGTATCCGCAGCGCCTGGAAATGTGGCCTCAGTTTGTGGACTTTCCCTACCAGGAACACTCATCTGCTCTACTGGGTGTTATATGCTTATCGCTTAGTGTGGTCGATAAGAACATGTTAAAGCATTTTGGCAAAAAAATTTTAATGGAAAGCTTGCTGAAACCGGACGATGCGAATAATGCTGACGATGAAGACAAGCCAAAGGAGATTAAAATTGAAATAGATGACGAGGCTGACGATTCCGCCACTAATGAAAAGGCGTTGGCACCAGCAACCGAAGACGACAATGCTAAACCTACTGTGGTGCTGCCCAAAGTCTTCCATTACCAGTGCGCTGTTATACTGCTTGAGACTCTTTTGACTGTGGCAGGTGGAAAATTGCTGACTCAACTTTATGCCATGCTTTTTAGCGGTCGCGTAGCTCACCTGGCCCTAGGGCAACAAACCAACTTTTCCGTGCAGCGTCTGCTACAGCACTTGAAAGAGGTGCCCGACTTTGAGTCGGTCTTCGATGAGTTACAGCCGCAGATTGAGCAGCTGCTGAAAACGGGTCTAACGGGCGTGGTGTCTGCCCTAAGCGCTGCCTGCCTGCGCTTGGGCGCCAAGCAGGCTCAGATGATAGGAGCACTTCAGGCCGCCTTACATGTGTCTGGCGACAAGGAGAAATCCAAGATGTTCTTTAATTGTCTTGTTAAACTGAAGCCCCATGAGCTTATCGCCGACGATCAGTCCGCCTTCGTGCATCTACATGGATCACTTATAGTGCAACATGTGCTTCAGTTTAATAAGCCCATCTTCCTAGTCAACTGCATTCTGGAGCTGCCTGCTGTGCAGCTGGCGCAAATCTTTAACACGCCCAATGGCTCGCACATTGTCGATGCCTTCTTGCAGAGCAAATACATTGGAGAGAAGTCACGAGAGCGTCTTATCCGCCAGCTAGATGGCTTCTATGTGGACCTGGCTATCACCCGGCACGGCTCACGCGTCATGGAGCAATGTTTCAAGGCTGCACAAGAAGCGCAAAAGCTGCGCATGGCTAAGGAATTGAGCTCTAAGACCAACATGTTAAAAGGTTCTCCATATGGCAGTCTTATCCACTCAAAATATCGTTTGGAGACCTACAAACTGTCGCCCAGTCAGTGGCTGGCCAGTCTGGGTCAGCAGCAGGACCAGCAGAAGCCAGTGCAGACCAAAAAACGCCCTGCAAAGACAGCTAACGAGTTGTTTAAGGATATACTTAGCTAACGTGTCAGATCTACAACAAAACAACTATATATATACTACTTAGTATGTACGTAATAAATCCATTTTAATTCACTATAAACTATAATACATGTTCCAGGCATAAGGACTTCATGAATTATTAATGAAAGCTTATTGTAAAAGAATTGTTATCAGCGACTCTTAATCAGCTGAGCGGCTGGCCGAGTCAATGCCAAAGCAGCTGGTGCTCAGTTTCACTTTTGAATTCAAAGGCAACGAACGTGTCATCATGCGAGCAGTGCATTTGCTGCTGTTCTTCTCCTTAATTGGAGCCGCATTTGCGTTTGGAGACGAAGCCATTTTTGAGGATGAAGACATTTACAATCAGGCGCTGCCTCCGGTCGCGCACACAGGCATTACAGCGCCCGGCACCAAGTGGTGTGGACCGGGTAATACGGCGGCCAACTACGATGATCTGGGCCGGGAGCGTGAAACGGATAAATGTTGTCGGGCTCATGATCACTGCGAGGAGATTATCGAATCGCACAGCTCGCTTCATGGCCTACCCAACAACACCGATTGGTTTCCCATGTAAGTGCCGCGGAAAAATCAATATCCCGCCCGTCTGTAACAAATTTGGATTTACCCAGACTAAAGTGCAGCTGTGAACAGCAGTTCATTAACTGCCTGCAGGCCGTAAACAGCATGACATCGAACACCTTGGGTCGCATCTACTATACTACGCGGAGCAGGTGTTTCGCCCAAGGCTACCCCACCACCGGATGCAAGGAGTACCAGCTGGGCACAATACGCAGGCGATGCATTCGGTATACTGTGAACAAGAGAGCGGCCAAGCTGTGGCAATTCTACGACATGCCATTCTATTCGATTGCGGCAACAAATAAATCTTGACCCTGAGAGCTTTAATCATTAATAATATTTTATTTTATATTAGCGTATAAATGTGATTCTGCTCGTATGTCTGTCTGCCATACGTAAATATATAAGCTTATCGCGCAATTACGCCTTGATACAATCGAGCTGCTACTTCTCCTCCTCCTCTCTGGGGTGCGTATAGAATGGCAGGTCATAAAACTGCCAGCGAGCTGGCTGAGACACATCCTCGCTGTAAGTCAGGCAACGCTTCATGAAGTGGTCCCACTGCTGCTCCTGACAGGAAACGATGGGCGGCCCATAAGCGAAGCACACATTTGTTGTGCTGAAATATATACGACCTAAAGCGGCGGACTCCATGTTGTGCAGCGCATTGAGGCACAGGCGAAAAGCTAATTCACAGTCACAGGAGAAGCTGTGGGTAGCTATCAGTTAGCATCGATGAGCGCTTTTCATCTCTATGCACTCACATGGGAAAGAAACCGTCATTGGTCAGACCGTATTTTTGGGTGTCGGGCGAAATCTTCTCCTCGCAGTGGTCATGTTGCCGACAGCACTTGTCCAGCTCTATTTCACTGCCCAGATCGTTATAGTTGTCAGCTATATTTCCGGGGCCGCACCATTTGGTACCGGGCACTGTTATGCTCAGACCATGAACGCTGGCTAGCATCGCCGCCAAGGCAACAACGAAATACTTGGCGCGCATCTTCTATTCGAGGGTCAAAATTATACTGATCTAAGGGGGGAATTCTGTCAGCCGACGCAGTTCTCCGAATTTTAATTGAAATATGCCAGTCGGTGTTGCTTTAAAGTTCAAATGGGTTGTCTCTGACGTAGCTTGAATGCTGATTAGGCTTAATTGCTAAATGTGATGAATTCTATAGATAGTTCACAGTAATCTATACTTAGTACACTTTATACATTTGCATGAGCAACGGCATTGCTTAGCCTATTAATAAGAGTAATGGACTCAATGGGGCGGGTAATGCTAGCAGACTTCCACATTAGTCATTTCCTTCGTCAAATCATTACTAAATTAATATTTCGTTCCATATGTGTATATACTCTCTAAATACACATATGGAACAAAGTAGATTGCACTTGCTAAACCTCGCTTTTCTGTCGATTCTGCATCACCTGGCGCAGCTGTGGGAAGGTGCTCTTCGTCTGTGGCGGATGAAGACGGGCACACAGCATTGTGAAGGGCTCGTACAGCGAGGGGCGTTCCATAACATTGACTGTGTAATGCTTAATGCGTTCTCGTTGACACCAATTATTGGCCCGATCCATTATCGATTCCACAGGATTTGGCGTGGCGGGCGGCGTGTCCTTTTTGCTGCGCGCTCGAACATTGGCTAATACAATTACAGGCACTTCTTTCTTCTCCTTATGCTTGTCTATATCTGTCTTGATGTCTGCCAACATATCCAAGCTGCGCGGATCAGTGGGATCATAGACTAGCACAAAGGCGTCTGGAAATTGAAGATAATGACGCGGCAGCTGTGCCGCTTGTTCACCTTGCAGGCCAGCCGTATCGTAGATGCGCAATGTTTCCCGTGCGCCACCACGTCCTGTGTCCACGCTTGCTACATATATATCCTCAATTGTTGGATGCAGTTCCTAAGAGTAATTAAATTTTTTTCTTTGTATTGGTAGCTAGGAACAAATACGGAATTGTTGTGGCCAACTTACAGTATCGGCGTTGATATTTCCATACACCAACTGCTCGATGAGTGCTGTTTTTCCCACATTTTTCATGCCACACACCAACACTTTGCCAACCTTGCCAATTTTTGCATTAAGCATTTTTTATTAAATAAAACAATAACGTAAATAAATAGGTGTTGACTACACTTTCTCAATCTGCGATTAGCGTTGCCACCATTCTCAATATCGATAGCCCACGTATCGATATCAAAATTATCCAAATCCCTGTGCTCATCGAGGCGCCATATAAATTCAACTCAAATGTTATTGATTTTACCATTTTATTTATTTTATTATTATTTCAAACAAAAAATATTTTTTAGCAAGCCCAAGCTTCTTATACAAAAAGAAAAACAATTTTTCAATGTGTGTTTCACCAATATATTTTGGTTGCGCAACGGCAAATAAATGTGTGTATTTAACATCATCTATTGTACTCAGAGTGAATTTTTTATTATACACAATATAATGGTTTCATTTAAATATATATTTTTTCTTAAAGTTTTACAAAATTGTCATCTTACTTTGTCTTAACCTACATTACAAATTTGTTCTTATTTACGTAGCAAAATGTGACTTGGTTACTACGACCATCGTAATTGGTATCTTAATTTTCGTAAATTTATACGTGTCTTAAAAACAATATCCCAAATGGGACTGCTAATACCATATCCGAGATCTTGATGAGCAAAGTGATGTTGATAATGATACCTCTTCATATGATACAAATGATGACCCGCCGATGGATTACCATAATGCAAATAATAATGTATCATGTCATAGCATAAATAACCTATTAAAGCACCCGTTAGTACCAGACGCGGATGGTGATTTTGTAGTAGAAAACTCAGTGGTGTATAAATAATAGTAGCCAGCACAACTCCAGGCAATGGAGGAAAAACAAGCCGCATCGGATCAAATGGGACCTTGTGATGCAGTCCGTGTATCATAAAGTGCAGGGTGCAAAGCCAAGGACCACTGCTGCTAGTCAACTTTACATGAAAGACCCATCGGTGCAATGTGTACTCCAGCAGCGTCCAAAATATCACACCAAAGAGCAGATGGCCGAAGAGGGTGGTAATCTAATTGTAAGGATACCGTTAAGTAAATGTCTGTTATAGTCATAATGCGTTGTTTAAACTTACCTCCTTCATATTGTGCGAGTTCGCTTGGAACTCTGGCCAGCCGCAAGCAATAATCGTTGGGATCCAGAACATTGGGACAACCCACCATGGGGTCTTCGTGCACATTTCCAAATACCAAGGGCCGAACAAGCGCAGGGGTCTGTCTACTGGCTTATGTACCCATTCGTCGTAATATTTTGTTATTTTTGAAATTTGGGGCAGCATAGCTTTCGACCAGTCCACGAGGTGCTGAAAATTTAAAAAAACAAAAAACCGTTTTTACGATATCATCAATTTGTCGATACTTTTGAACAGTGGCAGCGCTAATTTCGACTCTATCATCGACCTATCGATAAATTCAAAACCATCAAACGTTGGGGTCTCGAGCAGCTGGTTGGTTTTACTTCAAAGCTGACATTTGAACAGGTTGGCTGAATTCATTCCGTTTCTGTAAGCTGCAGAACACGGCAATATTTAAATTTCTTATAAATTCTTCAACACAGATTAGACGCATTGTGGTTAGGCCACATTCAGCAAAAAACATGTCGAACACCACAATACGCCCAATACCCACATTAAAGGGCATGTTTTCGGTGCCGCGTAAGTATAATTTTTTTCAAACAGCCATGGCAACCAAAAGGAAATGTTTACACGATTGGCGTTCGTTTTCTTGTAGGCGTCACACCGGGACGTAATTTTCTAAAGGAAAACAAAAAGAGCCTACGTTCCCTAGAAAAGGCAACTACAGAGAAGCTTGCTGCTAAGGAACCAGTGCGTCCCAAATGGATGCCGCCCCTACTGCGCACTCCGTCCGAGGCACGCGAACGTGAGTCGAAGAAGTGCGAAACCGAAAGATTGTCTTCAAGGAATGTTGACGAAGAGGTGTGTTTATTGCGCAGCCACAGCAACTCCCTTTCGCAGCAGTGCCTGGACAAGCCACAACCGGACGAACAAGAGTCTTGCGCACCCCCCGAAAAACGTGAAATTCAAAAGGAGAAGAAGGTTCGCCCAAAAGCGCAGCCAGTTCAGACATCATCGAACCGCTGTCAGTCATGTAATGCCGAACGCAGCTCCACAAGCATTGGCATACAGACAGAGGACATAAAGGATGAGCTTTACCTTACCAATGCACTTAAAAAGTTAGTACCAGCTCATTTAAACCAGCATCAAGCAATCGCACTAAACTAACTTTCCGAACACATCTATGTGCGCAGGTGCAACATTGATGCCAAGACGGTTTTAGGCGAGGAACGCAATTTATGCATTGATCCCGACCTCGACTACGATAACAACTACGGAAGCTACAGTCAATACCATGATGATGAGCAGCCGCTGTCGGCACGCTCCAAACACAGCCTTCTTGATATAGATGACAACGAAACAATGCCCATGCCAGAGATGGACAATGTAGGTCCCGATAATACTGATGAAGAAGCACCACTGAGTGCACGCAGTCGCGAAACAATTGCTACGGTCGCTTCAAATGCTACGACCAAATCAAAGCGTCGCGAATACAAGCTGGGCTGTGAGTATAACACGTGAATAATCTGTGCATCTAGTTAGCTAACTGCCGTGATGCTTTCATAGCACGCGATGATCTACGCCTACCGCGCTATTTGGAAAAGGAGAAGCGCGAAAAAGCCGAGGCTAAAGAAATTTTAGACTCACGCGATCCGGACTGCCCACGCGGTCATGTATTGATGAGTGAACCGGATCGCCTGGCTGCGCTAGCTACTGCCAAGCAGCGTAAGTTGCAGTCAATATTACACCTGGATTTACTACACATTTTCATGTTCATTTTGTAGGCTTTGACATGCTCATTAATGAGCTTAACCACATGCCCATGACCGCCCAGACACTACGCGTGCGTTCTCGCAAGGCTGAGATTGATAAGGAGCTGACCGTTGTCGAGGACGAAATACGCATTTACTCCAAGCCTAAGGTGTATGTGAGAGCAGCCAAATCGCGAAATCTCTAATGCACACAAAATTTCGTTAATGTTAAATGAAACAAAAAGAATCTCCCACTCGTAAAAATAGAAAATCGAACGCTTTCAACCAACAGGAAATATCGCCTGGAACAATATTCCCAACTATATGACTATTGGAGCACTTGGACCAAACCTAATCTTTTATGTGTTCGTTCAAAGTATTTATATTTTTTAAGTGAGCATCAAAAAAAAATATGAAAAAAATGAAATAACTAGAATGTCAAAACCCCAGACACTAAACTAAAAAATATAAAAAAAAAAGAGTGAAGGAGAAATGTGAAAATGCTTAACTATCTTTCGCAGACTCACCTCCATGCTTTCATCCAATTGATTGTTGTTGCTGTCCTCCGATTTTTGTTGTTGTTCCAGCAGTTCAACTCCATTCTCTGCCGACTTATCCGTACGCCTCTCATTTGTCCTTTTATCACTTCCGTGATCGTGTGCGCTTACCTTATACTCTCGCATCAAGTACATGGCTGCATCGGAATGCGGCGGTGCCTTCATAAAACGAGATGTCATGTCTGTCTGGCTGAGTCCCTTTAGGCTGTTTATTCCGCCCGGATGTTTGTGCATAAAGTCGGACAGATCATAATACTGCTGACGATATTTCACTATGAACTTATTATTGTGCTCCGTCTGGCTGAGGGCATCCATTTTGATCGGCTTCCAATTCTCTACTGTAACGCAAATAGTTCATAAAACAATTATTAGTATTTGTACATAGCCATATATTGTAGTAGATTCTTAACTTTTTAATTGAATACTTGTAACTAATGCACACCACTTGTAATTTATTCCCTGATCATCTGTAATTGTCAACTGCAGTCGATAGCTAAATTATGTAGTGCTACCCCAAAATGCATTATTTTTATTGACTTTGGAACAGCTATTGTATAAATGAGCTCTTTTGGTTTTCTGCTCGAACAAAACTGCAGTTTTAAACAATTTTAACTGCCGACAATAATAGTTAGATTGTAAATGTGAGGCAAGCATAAAAAGTCGATCAAAGCGTAACTTAAAGATAAGATAAAACAAAACATAATGGGTCACCTTAAATCGCATGATTATTTTATTGTGCCATGATTTTAGTCAACTTTTGCCAATGATGAACTTTGGTACATAAAATGCTTTTGTACATGATTCCCTTTCGGACAATATTAGGCAATGCCCGTGAGGATCTACGATATTTAAAGTGAATACAACTTTTCGCGATATTCTTTCATATGCTTGATATAATCTCTATAACTTGACTTAATCGAAAAGTTTTAAATAAAATGTGTTAGAAATAATTCACATATATTGTGAAGCTTACCACCATATCATATAGCTATATAGGAAGAATCGCTCGTAAAATTTTCGTTGTTCTTGTTGCTTTATGCAGATATTATGAGCCCACACACGAAGAGTCTGGCAAATGTACCACATACCAAATCCAAATGAGAGGAATCTACAATCAGGCAGAACTCGAATTTCGTCCGAGTCAGCAAAAGGCTTGCATGGATGATGGAAAGCTTTGAAGGGAGCGGGGGGGCAACGATTGCAGTCTCTTCTGCAATCTGAGGTCAGAGAGATTTTATATATTTTTCTGAAACAAGTATAAATATTTTTGATCAGTAACAACTGCGGAGTTGATACAGCCTTGTCCGTCTCTCAGCTTCAAAGCTTTCTTGATTGTACCACGCTATCATTTAGAGAGAATACGAATAATCGGTTCGATCGAATTTCTTATTCTCATTTATTTTGTGAAAGATTCAAAGTAATTTCTACATGTAAGGAAAAAGAACATGTCCAGGGCAAGAACGAGCTCTAGACAGTTCAACCCTTGATTGAATCGCACATTCATTAAAAACTAAATCATTCTTATATATATATCATATATATACAGGTCTTCTACATATACTGTATGCATTTGCGTACTTTGTGTGTATATGCCGGATAGTCCTGGCATTCGCAAGTATCAAATCCCTGCAATGTACGTAATTGCACCAAGTAATTATAGGTTCTATTTGATAAGTAATTACTGTTAATGGAGCATGAGAAAATTTGCAAGCTGCTGCTAATTTCAATGTACTCGCTCGCACAGAGTGTACGGAATATGCGAAAGGCAGTGCCAGGTCAGTCCACGTATGCCTCATATGCATATCGCATTCCTCGAAATATACATATATCTATAACAGATGTTCTTTTCAGACGACTGATTGCACCAGGCCATTGCCAAATACGCCCAAGAGTGCCTGATATTGACCTCAACATCAATATGAATATACGAATGCATTCAAATGCATTTCCATTCATTCGTTTGGGCTATGCGTACGCGACAATTGGAACGTAACGCCAAACAAGTTACCTCTTTCATAAAAGACAAAAAAAAACTATAAAAAAATAATAATAACGTCTATATACATATAGTAGTTGGTATTTGTGTTAAGTAAAGAGACTTGCAACTTATCAGTTATCGCTATATCGCTGATAGTGGCATGTTAATGCCGCGTCCCGGGCAGAGGCCTCTGTCGGTCGTTTGTCAAAGTCCGTGATAAGCCCCATACTAAACATGGGCAAGGTGTACCGCTCAGTTGGGATGGTACCCGATATAGCCGTACTCTGACTCACGCGATTGTATTCTTTTCCGTAATATTGAACGTTTGGCAACCAGGAACTATCTATTTACTTGCATTTATATACCTAATATGAATGCTTATCTTCAGTATTTATGGCTTTATTTGGTTTTGGTTTTGGTTTTTTTTTTGTCATATCTGCTTCAGGTCTATTTGACGGCTTCTACCAGCTGAAGCATTTCAGACTCGTCAACCCGTCCCACTTGACATGCTGCTACTTTGTGACGTGTTTGTCCCAAATTCATGCGATCGCAATGTTTTACATGCTTACTCTTATCGATGAACGTTATCTCTTCGAGTTAGTTGTAACAATTTGTTTATCTGCGATATAGAGCGGTTTTTTTTTTGTATCGCTTAAGTGTTAAAATAAATTTCTACATTTATGACAAGGTTAGATATTATATTATTAACATCTACTAGTTAATAATATTTAAGGTACAGCACTAGAATCATACTAGTTTAGGATAGAAAATAGTTTAAAAAAAAAACCGCTCACACCAGGTAAATTATAGAGAATATTGCAGGTAAACACGAATGGACAAACCTTTCTTACACCGTTGACTTATCGAAGAGAAAATCAAAGTGAATACGGGATCAAGACGATTACAGTTAATTATTTGGCGAAGGCCGCAAGGAGGCGCGATTTCCAGCGAATCAAGCGCGTCTCTTCGGCTCTTCGAATTGCAGCCGCGTCGTATACGTAATTTTTTTCACGAAACGAACACGAACGAACAACAAAGCCGACCGCACGCAACGCAAAGCAACTCGCAACTGAAATCGAAACAGAGCGCCTAACGGTTGGAAGGAACAGCGTCGACTGCGACGGCGACGTCGACGGCAACTGCGACGCTGACGCCGACGGCGCTGCCACAACAGCGCTGAGTAAAGAAGAAGCTTTACCACCAGATAAACGCGCCGAAAATAAGATTAACACGCTTTCACATGCGTCCAACTATTGTACCGAGTCTTATCAGCTGTACAATCTTGCTCAGGTGCCCGATATGGCTATACTCTATTATTACTTAACGACATAAATTCAATAATAAGCCCCTTAGGGAAAGTGTTAACCAGGGTTAACCAGGGAATGCGGGTTACACAGAAACTAAGGCTCCTAGAGATTCTTCGGTTGAGTTGAGTCACAATTATCAAGATTCCTTGTCTGATAAGAATGACGGTGCTCTATTAAATCGTTAAATTACTGATTAGTGACATGTAGATTCTTGTGTCGCTTTGATTATATAGAATGACTCACAGGTAGATTGTCACGTGCCAAAGCAGGATCTATTGCAAGTCTTTGATATTATTTTTAATCATTTTCAGTTTTCTTGAGATATAATTTTTTATTTTCGCACAGTTCTAAAAAATAGGAAAAACAAAAATGAAAGGAAATATTTTCAAAAATCCAATTATCTTCTGCTGGAAAACTTGTTAAATGCTTTATGCGTTTTTCAAATTCATTTGCATTGGTACACACTTAATTAGCTATTTCGAATCTCTGATTAGACTTCGCAACCAGATTATCGAAAGAACCTGATAACAACGCACATCCAACCAGCCCACACCCGGGAGCACGAAGGCAAATACTCTTTCTTATTACATATCTATACAGAGAGTTCTTTGCTTGGGAGTAAATATTTTATTTTTGTCTTCTACTTTTTAGCAGCTAAACTGCTTTTAATTTCACATTTTCTTACGATTTATTTTAAAAATTTTATTTGATCCGCGCGGCGCCGGGTAATTTCTGCTCTGCTCTATATACATCCTTAATTTAGTATACTGAGTGTACTCTAAGCTTAAAAATGTTAATTAAATGTATGACAATTTTTTGTATGCACAAACAGGGAATTCCCCTAAATTTGTGGTATGAACATATTATATACATATCAAAATCGTATAAGCGGAGTTAGGTATATATTCTAGATCAGCATCAGCATCCGAGTTGATATTTGTCTTTCTCTTGCAGTCAGTATATATGTTGGAATCGATCAGATCGGATCACTATGTCATATAGCTACTATGGGAAAGATCATTCGTAGCATCTTATATGGCAGTATATATTCTGTATTCCAGGATATGTTCATCAGACTCGGCTTCAATGTTCTCACATATCTGAAAAGGGAAAGTGTCTAAATCAGCGGCGTGCCCAACATATACTTACTTTCTCTTTTTTTTTCGTCAATTGCTGCACTTCTGGCTAGCTTATGAGACACATATAAGAGATATATTAGAGATAAGAGATATATACCTTTGGCCAGCATTAGACTTACACAAAGAGCACGAGCTAATTCATTTTGTTTGCACTATGATAATGCAATTGGAATGCCACACTTACGAAAATAGACTGAAATTTGAAAATCAATTGAAAGCTTGCCCCCCCCCCCCCCCCAACCATTTCTTAAACTGATAAGCGACAATTGTAGGTCGGGAATAGAAAAAAAATTAAACATGAGGTATCGGTCAGCTGTTAATTGTGTGTGCATTTGTATAAGAGTATACGTATTTAGTATAAGAGTTTGTCCTAACGGAAGCTTGGCCCGGTCCGCAACGAACATTAGCATGCACTTGAAAAATAGCCCGGCCTGGCACCCAAAAAAACACGCTACACTTTTTTAGCCGGGAAATTGTAAACAAAATCGGATTATTTATGCATACATCTGTCTATCAAGAAATTGAATTAAAATAACTATTAGGTTATTCATTGTTCGGTATTTAAAAATAACATGCATTTGTTTTGCCAAATGAGCGCGAAATATTTCAAAACTGAAGATCAATTAGATAAGAGTCGACCGTAAGATACCCTGTAGATTGTTTGAAAACAACCAACCGCATATTCATACTACCTTTAGCACACTTTTAGGCTGGTTGCACAAATCATGGTATGATATTAAAGATCGTAGAGCGTTTCGTATATCGTAACAATTTCTACAGCTCTTATAATCCATGCTCAAACAATAGAAGGTTGTTATCGTTGCAGTGGTAAACTATCGATAATTTGAAGTCATCGAAGAACCAACCTATCAAATTTGAAATCTCCAACGACTTTTCTGACAATGCGAGCTGAGAATATAAATATCGTAGGATGTCGCTTTTTGGGATGTTCTGTCCGTTAACAAAACCAATATACCCGTATTACCCGTGTTCAATGATTACAGGATGTAAGCAAAGTATTTAATTATTTATCAAAAATGTATAATATTTGAAAATCTCCAACCTGCAGCATCCGAGTCATCGTCGACTACGTCAATTACGACCCGTGCAATTCCGTTTGGCTCTAAAATTAGTTCTACAAAAAGCACCATATGGTCGAAACGAGGAGCGGGAAGCATACGTAGTCTTCCAAAATGGCAAATATGGAATACTCTTAAAGGCATTATTCAGATGCGCGGCCAATTTCTATAAATTATCATTATCATCATTATCATGGAAGCTGACTATATGGTTGGTTTGATTTGAAAAACCTTGTACTCGTTTTTTCTAAGGAAGCTATGTTATTATGACCCAGAAAGGATGTCAGATTATGTCATCCAAAGCTCATTTGATGTACTTAAAAATATCCGATATAACCAATGTCTTTCAAGCTGTTTCGATAATAAAACTGTAAGCTTGCGTTGTAGGTGTTTTGAAGTTTATTTGATACTGATAGCTTACAACTAGTTTGTAATTTAGAAAGTACACATGTTTACGCGTATATATATTAATATATACATTCATATGCTGATATATATGTGTTATATTAGCAGCATCCGGCAGACAGATGCCTGCAGCTTAAAGTCCGCCATAACCGTTTCCATTGGCGGCCAGCTTGGTGCCGTTGCTGTGTCCATGGGCGTGCAGCTTGGTATTGGACTCCACACCGCAGGGATGTCCTAGAATCTTAGCCTTCTTAAGTGGTGGCTCATTTGTAATGGTGGCAAAATCAAACTGCAATGAAAAAAGCCCAGATTAGCGACAAAGCCTATTAACATGACGATATTTCGTACCCGTTGCTCCAAAGACAGATGCGATATGGGCGGCAGCCCAATGCAACCGCGCAAGATGTTCTCAATGGCAGCACGCTGGCTGAAGAGCGAGTTGACCACCTGTGCTCCGCTGGGCACCAAAGGCGCCTTGGTGAGATAGCTGAGCAGTGACAGCACCGGCTTGAAGGGCACCCAAGGAGCCTTCTCCTTCTCAGCGCTGCGTAATTGTATGCGTGCACTTAGCTCAGCCAGAATGACCAAATCCAGTATAAGTGGTGTGGCCAGAAGGGAATCTTCGCAAGTATTGTGTATAACCAAAGTGTTGTGGCCGCCCATCATGATCTCGGAAGTGTACTCGTCCATGGCCCGCTTGCTGTCGCCCACATAGGGTACATACTTGATGACCACCACATGATCGGGATGTTCGTTGGGCTTATAAAGCACGCTGTTCGAGGCGACCATATCATCAACCACATTGCTCTTGGAGATCTATAGAAGTCATCAGGAATAAATTAACCGTTCTGTTGCCAGGTATAGCTCAAACATACCTCCTTGGAGCGGAACTGCTTGGGAGCAGAGAGATTCTTGCCATCGTTGTTGCCCAGATGGTTATAGCTGACAATGGAGACTGGCTTAATGCCGGCTCCCACCAAGAAGTCAACCAAAACGGATTTAATCTTTGTTTGGCCCGACTTAAAATCATCGCCGGCAATGAAGACCTGCTTCTCCTCGGCCAGCTCCAGCAGACCGGGCACAAATGTGTTCTGCGGCGAGCCGTTAATGTACGTGCACTACGAAAGATCAGAATTCCAGTTAGTTAAGCTAAACACTAAAGGGATAATAGTTACTTACGCCTTCGGCTATGCTGGCCATGGCAAAGATGGTAGAGGGCGAGATCTCAGACTTGTTGGCCTTAAGAGATGCCTGCAGCTCCTGACTGGTGGTATTCAGACCCGGCTGCACAATGCTGAAGCGTTCTGTATTTGCTGTCCAGAGGACAACGACAGTATCGACGCCGCTGCGCTTCTTGAAGTCCCGTATATCTCGACGCACCTGTTCGTACTGCTCCAGCCTGGTGCCCTTGATGAGATTATCAGCACGATCTAACTGATTGGCAGCAATAAAATCTGGATCGTAGATGGACGGTCGCGGCTTCATTGCCGAAAGATAGTCATATAGCTGATCCTGCAGGGCCACATCCAATACCTCGGCACGTCGCATCGCATCGCCCAAGTGATGGCCACTGATGTCCCAGCCATCCAAAACAATATCGGCTGGCTCCACCATTGGCAACAGCTCTTTCATGGGCAAAAACACATCCTTACCGGTCTCGTCCGAGCCAATGTAGACCGTTGAAGCTTGGGTGATGGAACCATACCAATTGGCGCGCTGCATGCCCTCCTTGCGGCGCCATTGCATCTGCTGGCGATTCGCCTCCAAGGCGGCCGTTAGCGTCGAGCCGTTGTTGCCGCCCCAGCCCACCAGCATGACACCCAGCTTGGGCACATGACGAGCTGTGCGGATCTTTATCGCCGTTGTCTTCGGGTGCACCTGCAAGTAACAAGTGGTACGATGATATCAGTAATTAATTCCTGGCCTATACCAAGAACTAAACCAAAATAGCACTTGTTTTGGCCAGCAACCCTATCGGGCCAATAAGCCAGACGTGGCTTGATTAGGGAAACGTAAAATTGCTAATCAACTTTTGCGAACGCGTGATTTTTATTAACTTCTCTCAATGACTAACCCAATCTGTATGCCCTATTAGAAAACTTGTTGTAAACAAATAAATAATTATAGTATATGGTATGAAAATGTGCTTTGTATGTATCAGATACAAAATAATGGTGCATATTACAGAATTATGGTAATATATCACTAAGAATTTTCGAACTATGACTTGTTTTACCCGCCAGCGGCTCGGAAAGTGTATTGAATCGTCGGTGTGTTTTTCATGTTTGACTCCAGTTGGCACCTGATTCTTGGCAGTGCTGCCGACGCGTGTTCGTTAGCAGCCAAGTGTTTATAAATATGTATGTATAATGTATAACGATAATCGAATAAGTCGTATAAATAATTTATAAGCGCGTTGTGCCACAACACACTTGTTGTTGCGCATTTGCCGGCCGGCTTATTAATAGACACATTTCAGAATTTCATCACACTGGACACAGATAAACATGATGAAGCCTTATTCGAGCCACAGAAAGGAAAAAGTAGCAGTATGGTGAGAAAAACAGGTAAGAGTGCTCTAGTCGAGCATGCCCGACTGGCAGATACTCTTTACTCTGTGCTAAGAACCCTATATTTATAAAATTTTCAAGCCTAATTAATGGTGTACATGCCAAAGCACTATAACTGTATTTCAATATTCGATACTTATCGACGTAATCAATTGGGCACATCAACATTTATCGATATAAATTAGAGACGATATCGATATGGCGTCATAAATAAGCTCTGACATTTTACATATCTCAATGAGAAAAGGGTATAAAAATTAATATTCATAGTTTGATTTGATGTGCTAAATGGATTTTCTCTTAGCGTCTGGACTTGTAAGAGCGCAAAGCTCTCGCTCTAGCATTAACCGCTCTTTGCCTTATTGACATTGACCTTGAGCAAGAAGAGTGCGGCAAGTGTCTGTTCCTGGTCGCAGTTGGACCCAGCGTGTGGCCCGAGATGGCGTTCGAGCAAAGTTAAACAACACTTTGTTTTCTTTCGAGCCCGGTTTGTGTATTTATATACTTAGCCGATAAGGTAACATATCAAATCATGTTCACAATCCAAACACGATAATAGTTGGACTTTATTTCACATAAGACTCAAGTGTGTTAGGCGCCTGCGCATTGCCGGAGCCAAACACGCCACCAAAGTCGGGAATGGGATTGGGAATGGGAATGGGAATGCGAATGGGCAGTTATCAACATTCGACTTTGCTCTATCAGCTGTTTTAGAAAATGTGCGAGAATCAATAAATTGAGTCCAGCACCCACACGAATTTCTGACTGTACGATTTGTGGGCCTGTGTCCATGTCAACATTGGCCCATTATCATTCGTTAACAATACCGTATTTGTTCATTATATGAATAAGCGTAAAACTCTGTTCGGACTGCTGAATCAATGGAAAGTTTTCCGAACAATCGCCGGGCTAGCAAGTGCTCCATTTAATTAATGCAAGTGTTTCCATAAATATCCCAGAGCCGGAGAAATTTCGAGAACATCTGCGTCTGGTTGCCACAATTTCAGTGTGAAGGTGTGCTCTACTAAAATAATATTCGCTGGCAGATATAATGTACGAAAATCTCCAATATGTTGAAGCTTGACATCGCCCCCTAGCCATAAAGCTGAGAAATACTTTATTTCCGACTGACCTTTGCTATAATATATTAAAACTCCGATCTGATATGGGAACTGCCTCTAACATAAGATCCTGGCTATATCAACTGCGTAGATGATACTGATCAGGAATATATACACATACTTAATGATGTATTGAAAGCTTGGAGCCTCTAACCTCAATAGCACCCAAAAATTTCGTGCAGGCCCGTCTTGCTCCAGGGCAGGGTATATTGCTTTACGCTTTACTTTTGAAAATTTAGTTTCATTCAAGACTTTTCCAACTACTTAAATTGACCCTGAACCGCCTCATCCTTCTCAGCTAGTCAACATTTCCCTTAAGCTCTTTCAGTTCTTATGCAACTGTTGCATTCCATTTTTGGAAGAGTTCGCTTTCGGCTTAAATCAATAACAGGTCTGATTTGGCGGAATGGAGGTTTGTCCAGGCCGGCGACTCACCTGCAGTGTGCCCGAGGCAGTGCGATTCACATGCGACGTTTGGTATTCGTAGTCCGTCTCAATAAACTTATCGTCCACGTGCACCTTGGGCGAGATGACTTCCAGTGTTGAATTTTTGGTTGGCTTCATTTTCGATATGCGTACTTGTACTTTTTGAGAAATGTTTATTCGTTTATTTCGCACTTGTTACTTGTGTATCGTTCACACTTTTGTTTATAATTTAGCGTGTGGTTTGTTTTGTTACAAGCAATTTGCTGCACACTATTTGCCGTTTCGGTCAAAGGTCTGAGTTTAGGTCTGGTCAAAGCAAGAGTTCGCTGCTTAATGAGCATAAGTGGGAGATGCGGCCCGCTTTTATTTACCGCAGCGGCGCGTTTTTTTTTGTTTTTTGTTTCTCTATTGACTCTTAATTCTGACAAGAGAACCGCTATTTGCCGGCTTCGTCGCCAACACAGAGAGCCACAAGCCAAAGAGAGCACGCAAAGGGCGCATGCAAGTGTATGTATGCACACATTACGTGGGTGTGCTTTGTGCATGTGTGTGCGCATGTTTTTGTGTGTGTGTGTGTAAGCCTCAGTGGAAACGAGCAAGTAGTTGTGGCTTGAGATCGCCGCATTAGGGTGTACAAAACTATGGCTAATTAATGCTACAAAATACATGGATGCTCTACTCGGGAGTCAACGACTAGCGGATACCTTGACCATGACAGAGCTGTAGTCATATACACATATACATCCTATTCATACATATGTAAGTACATGTACACAAATACGCACATACACAGGCTCACAAGCTCTCATGACGCTTTCCCCCCAGCTTACGCTGTGGCGGCGCTTTCCTATCCCTTGGCCCCGCAGTATGGGAAATGCGTTCCTCAATAACTTTGGTGTTTTCTTCTGGCCCTCTTCTAGGACTATAAGGAAAGGTATCAAAAAAACCTATATATGCATGTATTCTAAATCTTTTTAAATTACCAAATTTTTAAAAATCGAACTTAACAAAAATGGGAAATAGTTGGAAAAATTGAAAAATGTGAAGCACATTTAAGATTTGTACCCATTTTCAATTAGCTGCGAACCCAAAGAAAATTTACAAATTTCGCATTATACATCCATTAGTTGGGGTTTTGGTTCAAGCCTTGGTTTCTCTTATATATTTTTGTGATATATTTCAGGCATTCATCTATTTTTGGACGAAATTATTGCAAGCGAACATATTCTCATACAAAATATACGTAAATAAGTGGTTGATGCTCAAGCCAATTATACTTGGGATCCGGGTCTACCTCAACAATTTTTAAAAATTTTATTTTTATTTTATTTTTATTTATAATTAATTAATTTATAATTGGTTCGGTTCATAGTCAAGATCCACATAAAGTATTACAATAGTACAAAACCTATTGCCCGACTTCGAATGCAGGAAAAACTATCTATCATATTTGACATAGACCTGTTAACGCTCGGAATGGGCAGAGCTGGTCGGAGTGTTTGCGCATCTGAACAGCAAATCAGACAACAAGTGAACACCTAATTATCTTATTTCCGTGACGCTTCTGCAGCCTCGAGAGCGGAGCTCTCCGTCCATCACTGTGGGTAAGAATCAAGCTTGTATCTCAATTTCAATCAGAGTCTATGATAAGTTGTGGAAAATTTGCACGCCAATTTTTTTGTTATGATTTGGATGCTTTCAAGGTTTTAGATCTTATTGTACTGCGTACATACAAGAAATTTGTTATTATAAAATATTGCTCAAAGCATTTTCTAGATGCTCAGTTGTTGTGGCTTACTGGAACTTTCCACTGTTGCAGTCAATTGAATGCAAGCTGCGCTCAAATTACAATTTGTTTATCAATATAAACGGGTTGGGCTCCGAAGCGAGGCATGGGATTCTTCTGGAAATTGCATAATTGCGTATTGGCTAGCTCCAGCTCTGTAAAATTTCCATGAAAACTTTTCCATTAGAGCCTGAAACCAAATATTTATCGAATCTAAGACTAACTCGGATGAAGAGTCAGAAGCGATGCCTGATCTCAAAGTAAAAGCAAGCCTTTGATATTGTACAAATTGAAGAATATTATGCATTTTGATAAACAAAAATATAAAAACAACAACGAATTCAATTTAAATGCTTAAGGTAAATAGATGTACAAGCTAACAAGATCTCGAAAATCGACTACAAACATTTTTTAAGTTGGGACCAATATAAATAATACAATATTTGGGATACTTGGTTTATTTTACAGCTTTAAGCATTTAAAATTAATCAAGATAATTGTGAAGCAAACTTTTTTCAAAAACAAATATATATATACTTTGTACAACTTTGTGATATCTGCCGAAGCTATCATAAGTAGACATATGCCTTGCGTTTGTGGGCGTCACGTTTCCCTCATATGCGGCAATATCAATATCGGGAAAATATATATATGTATATATCTTATGCACATGTTTAATTTAGCCAAGTCATGCGCCAGTAGAACCCGTAGTGTTTATCAGAGGGTTTCCATTTCCTGCGGCTGAATCTGGTATGCTCTATTGAATAATATGAGAGCAACAAGTTGTTTTCGAAAAAGCACACACAATTTAGTGTACATTTCTATTTATGCATATCGACCTTGTGCTTTCATACTAAGTTTAATCTTTGCTTGGGCTAATTAAATATTATTAATTATAATAAATTACAAAAATCTGTTGTTGGTGCATTTTACAAATGTTTTGCACTTTTAAAACTATTATTAAATAACGTGCTTAACTTATTTACGCTGAACATTATGTACAGTTTAAGAAATTTTTAAATAACATTAACAACCGATAATCACAATTTAAGCACACAAATTGCTTAGGCAAAAAAAAAAGAAGACAAAAAGGTGCACGAAATTTACGCTACAACAAATCAAACTCAACTAATTTGAAACATATCATTAATACTGGGCTACAATCATTTTAGTTATCCAAAAACTCCCATTCGCTGGATGTGTTCGAATCACCTGATGCAGGCGTTTCCTGCTTTCGAAGCGGATCGCCTGCGCATCGAAAATCAGGCAGAAAGCTGTTATACTCATTTTCTAGGGTTGATGTGGACTTTGGTTGAGTTTCTACAAATTTTAAGGGCGCCTTCGATGGGCCCGCACAAATGCCATCAATAGGTTGTCCCGCACTGTAATCGGGGCTATTGTTCAATGTCAGCTTCTTGCACGGCGTTGTCTGCACACTGACCTCCTCCAGCCTGGAGGGATAGCAGCTGATCAATGGTGCACTGAGCTCTGGCATTTGTGTGGCCCGCAGCTCCTCTGCGCTGACTGGTCCAAGATGCACCTCCGGCAAGTCCAGCTCGACAGCCAACGTTTTGGCCTTTTCCGCTATGGTCTTTTGCAACGTTGTGGGAGTCATTGCATCGGGCAGGTGCTGTATAAAAGCGGCTCTGATATCCACAGGTGAGACCAGACCGTTGCTGCAATGAGAACATAATACAAGCAACGTTAAAGGATCAACTTTATTGGCCTTTCGAATAATTTTCGCATTTGGCAAGTACGAACGAATCTCTACTTACTTTTCCATTTGACAGTAACTAGCGTCCATCAGAGTAGCCGCATTGGTCAGAGGCAATTTGCGCTCGTGCGTCTCCTGTCCGATTTCAACAATACCACCGGGAACAGCGCTCTTCTTGCCTACTGATGTTTTGCGCTTCTTATGGGTTAACGTGCCGCTGGTGTGCACAATGGATTGCTCAAAGTCCATTTCGCCAATGCGCCGAAAGATTTCTAAGCGACGATTTTGTTGCGCTAGCGGTGATTCCACGGCCAGTTCAATGGGTACATTTAAATCCAGCTTTTCTATGGATGGCAATTCAAAGCACTCCTCGGCGCTGGTTATTGTTGCCTCCGGCTCTATCGGGGACTCTAGCTCCAGTTTGGAATATTGAGAAGCTCCCAACATGGACAGCGGAGGCGGCAGCAGGGGATTAAAAATAACCTTAGTCGTTTTGTTTGGACGCTCGGGCAGGGGTGCCAGTCGCAAGAGCGAACGCTCTCCTTCGAGAACAAATATCTCCTTGCCGCAAACACAGAAATCTATGATTTTTCGGAAACCGCGTGCCACTGCCTCAACTTTAAGACGCTCCAGATTCAGAATGTATAAAGTAGCATCATCATGGGTGACAACTAGTGAGTCCTGTTCATCGTACAACTCCAGCTCGCGAAAGTTTTTGCTGGCCACATATGTATCACTGCTGCTGTATCCAGTTGATGTTTGGCTGACTTGCTTTGGATTCAGTAGAGGTATCTCCCAAGTGGGACTGCGCAGCACAGCTTCGTTGAAGATTATGGTCTTAGATACATTACCAATAGCATCGGCAGTCCAGAAGCGCAGACCCGGTCGTCCACAAATGATTTGTGGCAAATTATCCTTTGTTGTTTGCTTCAGGAACACGCCGCCGCAGTCAATCAGCTGCTTTCGATCCTTCTTACCCACTTGGGTGATTTGCCATACATGGCTCTTAGCATCGCGCCGGCAAACTATGCAGCGATAAAGCGTAGCCACGAGCAAGTAACTCTGATGCACGCTCAACTGTACAATCTCATAAGCTTCGCTTAGTATTTCCAGCGATTTGCTCAGGTGCTGTGGCCCGGATTTAAAGAATGATGATGAATGCCAAGTTGATGGAATTAATGCTGTGCTCTACGTACCGCTTGATAGTCGAATTCGGTGAGTACTACAACGCCCTGTCGATCACCCGAGTACAACTTCATGCCATTCTTGGACCACTCACAGCAGCTGACCACGCAGCGATGCAAGTCACGTATGGTGTAGCGTTCGATGGGTTTGTTTCGGGTGCATGGTGCCACCAGATCCAAGTCCGGCGGCAACTCTTTTTGTATTTGAAAAACGCTCACCTGGCCATTGGCGCTACCAGCTGCCACCATATATTCCACTGAACTAACTATCTTAACGCATGTTATGCGTGTGGAAACCTGCGCCATTATCATTGTTGGGGTTTTAGGAAGGGGAAGCACACAAAACATAATGGGTTAATAGCACGCAATGTCTCATGTGAGTCATGGTCATTCATATTCTTACCTCAGCTTTGAGTTTCTGCATTTCCCCAGAACGGCGATTATACCAAAACACAATGCCCGCATCACTGCCCAGCGCCAGGAAATCTTCAACGGCATCGACACAAGTTACGTTAAGATTCGACGGGAAGAAGCCGCGCCGGGCTGCTGGAATCAGCTCCATTACCTCCGTAAGCGGCGCCCATTCACGTAAGCAAAATTCATTAAGGCTGGCCATTATGGCTTTATTAATGTTTTTACAAAAGATATATTAAAAATGTCCTTCCTCGTCCAGCCACTGTTCACAACAACTATTTACACTCAGTTTGTTTATATTCGATATATTTTGACAGCTTAATATGAAGTTCCTGAGTTGCCACATTTTCAAATTATTATCGAGTGAGTATAAAATAAACAGAAAAACATTGATCGGTATGATAAGTGTGAAATAATATGAAAGCGGTTTTATATGACTTTTGTTGTTTATTCCAGCATATGCTTAAAAGTTTGTTCCAAAAAAACTTCATAATATCGATAGCTAAGCATATCGTTGCACAAAACATCGCGCATTGTGATTATATCGAAATTGTAATATATCGCCAGCAATCGATTATTTATTAAAAATAAAGAAAAAGTAATTGTTAATAACATTACTTTATTTTAAATAATAGTAGATTACATAGACATAGTGCGCGAAAAATAATATAATTTCTCACCTGATTTTATCTAAACACAAAAGAGTAAATTAGTAAGCATCTGGCAAGGTAGAAATAAATACATACGGACACAGGTAAGTGGATAATCAATGTTCATACCTTGGAGCAAAGTTCATTAAATAATAGTTAATCAGTCTACAGCAACATGGGCGACAACAACAATCTGCGAAGCGCAGTTATAAACGAGTCGCCAATGCTGGCCACCCCATACGGCAACGTGAGGTCACTTGCAGCCCCACCACCCATTCCACAGTCTCCGTTGCAGCAGAGCTCATATGGTTACGGAGGAGGCTACGGCAACGTTGGAGGCTATGGTCTCGGCTTAGGCGGTTACAATACAGGAGGCTATAATGCTGGCGGATTCGGCTACGGGGGCTTCGGCATGGGTGGTATGGGTAGCTATGGTGGCGGCTATGGGGCGTACAACAGATTTGGTGGCTTGAATGCCAACGATCCTGAGCAGCGTTTTATACAAATGGCCGAGGCGAGCTCGCGTCCCGCATTCCAAAGCATTGAATCACTGGTGTCGGCTATTGGGAACATTGCATCCATGTTGGACTCTACGTTCTTTGCGTTGACAAGCTCGTTTCGTGCCATTCTTGGCGTGGCCGCGAATTTCGGACGCCTGCGCAGTGTTTTTGCACAGTTCTGGACATCGTTTGCTATCTTCCGCGGCCTAAAGTGGATTTACAGAAAGTAAGTGTATTGCAGTTCGCCTAAAAGTGCAAAAATTAATGGTATATTGTGACATTTAGAATAATCTTCTGGCTACGACTTTCGGACTTGGATCCTTCGTCGACCGCTTTTAAAAAAGCTTTCGCCGAAGCTCTCAATGATAAAAATGTACAAAATGGCAGTGCGCCAAATATACCCCGAAAAGGCACGTCCCCGTGGCCAGTGTTGGCCTTCATTAGTTTCATCTTTACCGCACCATATCTGATCATGAAGTTGCTGGGCACTGTGACGAATACGGCGCAAGAGGAAGGTATGGACATTGCACACCCCGTTTATCTAATCTCAGCACTTTGCTCAGAACCAGCTCATCCAGATAAAGCTGGGCATTGGCTTTGATAAGCACGCGAATGCCACTTGTTATTAATATCGGCCTTAATTTTTACTCTGCAATCCAAACAGCTCGCAATCCCTCGAAGTGGACCGCCCCGATTCAGACGCAGGCCGTGTATGATTTTCAGGCGCGCAACGAAAGCGAATTGACATTGCGTGCCGGTCAGTCCGTCCAGGTGGCTCCCCGTGAGATTCAACAGACCCTCCAACTGTTGAATACTGGCTGGGCCCTGGCTACAACAAATGGCCAGAGCTCGGGCTTAATACCAATTAATTATGTGAAATCACCGCAGCAAATGCGCCAAGAGCGACAGGAGCCCGTTAAGCCACTGCAACCGCAACCCGAGCTGATGAATCTGTCTGCGAATGCATTCCCCACCCTGCCCATTGATCAACAAATGAACTACGAATTCAATTTAGCTGCTCAGCAGCAGCAACCGCTAGGTCCACCATCCACGACAGGAGCAGCGTTCGATGAAGGATTTGCTTGAAAAATGGCGAAGCCATCAACCTTTTAGCTTTAAGCCAATTAAATTTGTGTTCTGGATTCCAACTGAACAATAACGAGGTCAACTTCGAGCTGTTATTTCGTGGGGTTATTTATATCAAAATTTCTACTCTTACATTACCCAGTTATTCAACAGCATTCCTCCACACAGATCCTTAAACAGTGGTATTTTTTTGAAACACAAATAGAAACCTAAGAAATAACGAAAGAATAAAAAACATAAACTATATCTTCAAAAGCCGGGTTACGATATAATTTACCTGGGACTCGACTCCCTCTCAAAAGTGGATAAAAAGCTCTGTTTTTAATCATATATTACAATATGTATTGAGTTTATTATCTATGTTTGCTTTTTTTTTTCTTTCTTTTGTTTGTTTATGCATTTTGTATTTGCTCTTTGTCAATTTCTCATTTTCAAAATGAAATATTTTAAATTTATTACACAACTACGGCTCGACTCTTAAATGTACATATTTCACTTTCTACTAATTTGTATGCATTTGTATTCATTTGAAGTTAAATATAAATTCTAGAAATTTATATCGATGCATTAATTGTTGTTATAACTAATTAGGTAGATTGATTATTTGCATTTACTTTTAATGTATATGTATTATATAGCTTTATATATATATGTGTTTGTATTTATAACCATATTTCTATATTTTTTATTTTTAGCTGAACGGTTCTTGAGAAATTTTGAAAATATGGTAACAGCTGTCTTAAAATGTTAGTGTGAGGCAAATAAACATATTTCATATGCTTTTGTCTACAGTTTGCACTGCAATTTGTAGCTCTAAAAATATTTTCATTATATTTAATTGCTGTCATTTCAAGTTTTGGTGTACAATAGTTTTAAAAGTTGCTCTACAACATTGAAGATGAACTTTTAAAAACCCTTTTCGCTTGCTGCTTAACAATTTCTCTTTTCCAAGCATCATTTAACAACTAAAAGAAGACAGAAATTTGTTTTGTATATTTTCACTAAAATACATTTTTGTTTTGTGTGTTTTTGCTTAAGAACATTAATTTAAAAGTTTTGCGCTTAAAAATAAACTTCAAAAATACAAATACAAACTGAACGCCAAGTAATATTTATAATTATTAAATGTTTCTTTCTTTTTAACTTATTTATAGTTTAATCAAGTCTCATTGAGAAATTAACGAAATCAAAAGCTGTTTAATGCTTCTGTATATGTAAAGAAAGACAAATGTGAGAAATGGGCAGCCTAAACGAACGGGCGTGGCAATCCCAACAAAGCGTTAATAAACGTAAAACTAAATGTATCCTCTGCATAGCCGCTGCTAACATCGCCAGCATCCGCAGTGGACCCCATCGCCCAGGACACGTCCGCGTCATCGTCAGCTCAATCGATGTCATCCTCTTGCTCATCATCGTCTAGCTCCAGCTTGTACTCGACATCGGTGGTATGCTGTGCAAAGCTTTGAGACTCATTGGGTAATTCGAGGTACGAATTGAACTCGTCATCCGAATCGTACATCTGATCCCCCATTTTGCCAGTGCCATAAGCTGTATACAAAAACAATTACTCTATTATTTATTTTATTGCACAATGGCAAATTGTCTTAAGTCATACCTTCCACATATTTGGATAGATTTGGTGGGACCCAACCCTTTACACGTTCTATATTCTCCCCCGTGCAATCACCTTTATCTAAACCTGTCAAATGACACTGGGTTATTCAATATGCTTTGACAGAAGCCGATGGGGGAGTACACTTACCCACCAGGAGGCCCATGCGTTTCAACACCTCGATGTCATCGTGCATTTCGAATGTGTTGTCGAACTTAAATATGTATTCGGATCTGTGAAGAAGTCGGACATGAAATGAGTATTAATTAAGGCAAACAAAATCAATTCTTGAAGAGACATACTTGTCGTTGGTTACACTGCAATTGATCTTTGTCGATTTGTGCGTATTCACAATGATGAACGGCAGCTGAATGGATGAGTTTGGCGATGGCACCATGCCCTGGCTTTCTGCCCGTTTGTTGCGCTCGACAAGACCCTTGAATGCCACGTGCTGCATGATTAATTCGCGCAACGTTTCATTTTTTTGCTTTATTCTTTCACGGCACGCATTGTTCTGTTCCTCTAAGGCCAGAAATTGCTAAAAAAAAAAAAATAATCAAAACGAATAACGATTAAGACAATGCTTATATATTATTAACTATACCTCAGCCGAGTTGGCGGGCAAGCCAATCCAACGTATCTCCTTTTTGTCCTTAGAAATAACATTGATTGCCATCAGTACGTTAAGCGCATCGTAGACACGACGCCGGATATTCTTTTGATCACAGTTATTATCATATGAATTGTTCTTCATTTCTTCATTAACCAAGTCGTCAGCCACCTCATTGTATGTGGTCTTGCCCTTTTCCTGCACCTTCTCGCACACCTTCATCGAGAAGTGACGCAGTCCCTTGCCAGCCTTGTCAGGTTTCCGTTTCCTTTGCACTGACGATGAGGAGGCGGGCATTGTATGCATTGAACTGCTCTGTATGGCGTGCCTAAAAGAAGAGACCACAAATGGGATCAATACAATGCTTTTAGACCATGTCCATGTCGGCTTGCCAATTGACTTACAATTTCGATTTCAATTTCATGGCGTTATTTGGCGTATATTTGACATATCGCTCGTTCTTTATCTAGAATATACAATGTGATACACAGTTATGTTATTCTTCTTGTCAAGACGTTGTTGACTTACCACTTCGTGAATGCTGCCGCCCACACCGCCAGCACCGCTGCCTTTTTGCGCTGACACAGGTGTATATGAAGTATCTGTGTTTTTTAAAAAAGTTATTGTTTTAACATTGCGAATGTTGGGCATATTTTGTGTTCTTACTTTCGGTTTTTGGAATAGAAATACAACTATCTTGAAGACGAATGAATTGTCCCTGATTCGTTGTGCTCTGCAAGCAAGCAAAGGCAATTGAGTACATTAATTACACCTGTGTTTGATCATTCGATCTTACCATTTGACTCAAGGCGCCAACTCGGCCCACATTGCCGATGCCGCCGCCGCCGCCGCCGTTGCGCGACGAGCTGCTAGGAAAGACCAAAATAGACTTCGAATTGTCCATGGAGTGTGTTTGCTTCACTTGCACTGGCTTCAACATTTTGGCAATTTGTCCTGTAATGTGAATACCTTATCAAGCGATGCACATTAAAGATTTACTTATTATGGAATAATATAAGAAGTCTGTTTAAACTCTGTGGGTCTCCCTCTCTCTCTCTCTGTGATGTAAGGGCATATTCAACTTGTGTAAATATCTGTAACGCTATGTAGTCCATCGATAAACGCATGTCATCGAACTGATATCGATAAGTGAACATATATGTCGATATATTTCCCAAGCTTGGCATTAATAAAATTGGGAATTTGACTCTCAGTAAATGCCTAGAGATGCCTTTTCTACATTTTAAGATTATAGTAAATGGAATATAAGTATCTCGACTAGGTCACTTTTCTTTTATCATGTGCCTTGCAAACTAGCCTGTCACATGAACATTTACAATTTTATACGCACTTTTTACAAGCCCGAAAGTTCAACGGGGTGCTTCATAAAATGCATACATATGTATATAATGTAAGTCTACATACATACATACATGTATGTTTTTAAATGCATGCACCTCCGCTTCTGTCACCATTTCTGTCATTCTCTGCAATTTTATATACTGCGAATGTAGAGAATGAAAGCGAAGTGCAAAAACCAATATCAACACAGCTAAAAGGCGACAATGTCAACCACACAACAACAACAACAACAACAACTTCCACGAGTGTAATGTATAGAGTTGAGAGAACAAATGAAAACGAAAGAATTCTCACTTCTTGACTGGGGGTGGCGGGGATGGTCAAAATGCGCTCGTCTGGCAAGGATACACACAGCACGCAGCCCAACTCACAGCAAGAGCAGTAAATCGACAAACACACATGTATGTGCGTGTGTGTGTGTATGGAGCACGTGATCACATATATATGTATGTATGTGTGCATACACACAAATAAACCAATATTGATATGTATGTGTCGTGATCGTGATGTTTGTACAGCCCTGGATATTTATAGACGACTTTTCTTTTAACCATTTACATCTGGAAGTGTCAGTTATGCTAATTATTCACCTGCTGCGTTAACATTTACATAATGTTAGTGCTAACGAAAGTCGAGCACAAAAAACATACAAATAAGCATGCATGTCAAAAATTTAAACATATTTATGAATCAACATCAAGACCACATGAAGGGCCCAAACTATAAATACCAAGCTGCACACACACACACACACACACACACACAACTACACATGAGTCACAGCTTAACTGCCGACAACCATCGGTCTTTAACAGCAACAGCAACAGCGGCAGCCTTGCAGTAGGCCGGTTAGCCGGCGTGCGGTCGACGCTGCTCACTCATTCATACAAACAGCACATGCGCTCACATATACACGCGCCCACACGCACACACACACACACACACTTAGGGATGTACGTAAGATGGTCAACAGAACGGCAATAACAACAATTATTGCTGCCGGCGTCAACGCCGCGACGTCGCTGCGCAGCCGCTACTACACATGTTTGGCGTTTGCCCATTTTGGGCTTTAACTATTTTCCTATCTACACGTACATATATGTAGATGTTTGTTTATGTGTGTGTGTGTTCAACTTGTATGTGAAAGCGTATTTGTGTTGATAGCTTTTGGTAACAAAAAGCAAAATGTCACGCAGTTTTATTATTTTTGTTTTACCTACAAGACACATAAAAATACGCCATTTGCCTATTTTTATTAATAATTTTCAATTTAAGGATTCATCACGGTTAGGATTTAAGAAAAAACACTCTCACAGGAAGCTTTGACGCCGACGCGCTGCCGGCAGCTGCTGCGCTGCTATCAGCTGTTCGAGCTGAAAAAAACCCGCAGAAGTATCTTGTATATCTTGTAGTTGTTGTCAGCGAATAGGGTATAGAATGTATTTGTGTGTGTGTTTGACTGAGCGCCAACTGGGCGAAGCGCGGTTGTCGTTGCTGCCCGGCAATGAACACATATGCACACCTCTATATTCATATACAGCTTGACATAGATATATGTGTGAGCTTGCACATACATTTGTATGTGTGTATGTATATTGGCAGCAGCAGACAAAACCAACCGATTTTTACTTGATTTTATTTTTTATTATTTGTTTTTTTTTTTTTTATTATTTTATTTTTTGACGTGTTGCCGTGCAGCTATAGTAGTAGTAGTAGTTGTTGTTGTTGTTGTTGCTCTTGCTGTTGGCTTGCCTCGCCGCGATGCGGCGTTGTGTATGCGCTTAAAGCGTATTAAGCGATAAATATTGTATGTAAAAGGAAACCGAAAAAGAAAAAGATGGCGTTTACGCGCCAGTGTGCGAGCATGCAAGTTAGTAGTAGCTCCCCCGCTACTACTATTGTGAATACGCAAGTCTCTGCAATTGTATGCGTACGTCAGAGCACACACATATGTGCATGTGTATGTGTCGCATTCATTAAAGCAAAATTAAGCTTTAACATGGTGAACTAATAACGGACAATGTAGTGGAAGCAGCTGTAAATTAAACCCAGCAAATGGTCAACAGGCCAATAATTAATTTAACCACTAAACCGCTTAGCCATGCTTACCGTGCTCATCCTGAAAGAAATAGTTGACTTCATCCGTCTTCACCGCGCCACTCGTTTGATTAGCAGCCGAGGAATGCGCCATTTTCAGCTGTAGGCAGAGACAGGTGTAATGACGTCGGTATTCCTGCTGTTTGGTGCCCAGCACCTTTAACTGCTGAAATGCTGTCGCTGGTTACCTGCGGCAACGATTATCTTCTAGTTGCACTTCTTCAGGGGGGACCGTTCACCAACACGCCGCCAAAAGATATCAATACGAGCAGAGCAGAAGCAAGTAGCCGCAACGTGTATGTGAGAGCCTGAGTGTATGCAAGTGAATGTGTGTTTGTGTGGCGCGGCCAGCGATGAAATCCGTATTTTTTAGGTGCACAATTGTAACACGTGTATTAAATATTCTTTGCACAACACTTCACGGATGTTCTAATATTTGGGCGTAATTGCCGTCAGTGTGGCACACTTTAGAGCGATTATTTTGATAGCAGCAAGTGAAAATTTGGTTGTCGCTCGAGTCAAAATGGCGAGCGCATTTTTTGTTTCCAGCAGCAGCGCATTTTTTTTTCTTGTCACACACAAAATGCTTTCAATGCGGGTTTTCGAAGGCGTTTTTCGAACACTTCGGAGGTTTCGATTTTTGAGCACTTTTTTGCAAAAGGATCGACAAATTGTGATGTTTCTTGTGCACTATTTAGAATTAAATTATATTTCGTTTATAGAGCAGCGCGATACGCACAAAATTTCCATCAAGTCGTTGCTTTTTCAACGACGACGACAACGACTACGAAAACGACCAACGTGCGAGTGCGAGCGAAATGGCAGACACCGCGTTGAACAGCTGATTGGCTCGGCGCGCCAAATTTACGCATCAATCGAACTCAGTGTTGTGTAACGTACGTCAGGATAGCGGCACTCATACAATCCAATATAACAAAATTAGGTAGTTTTTCGTTTTAATTATTGTATTATAATCTATTACAATGCTCACAGGCACTCAATCGCCGCCAGCTGGCTGCTTATATAAGGACCAACAGCTCAAAGTGTCACTGCTGACAAGGTAGCCTATATAATATACCATACCCCAATTATATTGATTATAACACTACAAATTTGTTGATTCGTTCAACGTTTTTATTAATAATATTGATAAATATAAAGCATAAACTATCGCATATGTTTGATAAAATTGTTTATTTTTTAACGATATACAACACTTTGTGTAAAATGTAAACAATGTAGTTATCGTCTTATCGACAACAGCTTTGAGGCCATCTTAACATTTCTATTGGCTATGTTTTTGCATATCGATAGTTTCTTGAGCCCAACTAGATATTTTGGTTTTTGCTGAATTGAAATATCAAGCCTCAGTTTCAAGTATGTTTGGCATTTTTAATTTTAATAAATATGATGAACAAAGTGCTTATAAAAATCAATTAAATATAAATAACACATGCAACAACAATTAGATGAACCTAAGAACTAAATGAACGATAGTATGTTCCATGAATTCAGTCGTACAAATGAACTTGTTCCGAACCATTTGTCGCAACTCTGCATAAGCACGGCTGATTTTGCCAAATAGTATCATAAACATATTATTGAGATTATAAAATGACAAAACATCAATTTGGTTATACGTTAAGTGAAAAGTTAAAATCTACATAATACCAAGTACTGCTCTCAAATCAAAAGCCAATCATAAAACCAGCAAAGCTCACTGCCACCTGTGATCAGTGGAACACGACTAGACAACAACAAAATGGTCGATCCGCTGTGTAATTATAATGTATTGGAGGCAATATTTTCATATTTGGAGCTCAACGATTTATATCGATGTTCGCAAGTTTGCAAAAGCTGGTATCATTTCCTGAACGATGAGAATAGCGACGTTTGGCGTTGGCACTGCCTGCGCAAGCTGCCCAAAGAGTCTGTCAAATCCGACCTGCTGGCCTCCGTCTCCACGTACAAGACAAAGCTGCGGGCGTACCTGCATGCCTGGAGTCCCAACGATTGCTCGCGGAACGTCTATATAAAGCCAAATGGATTTACTCTCCATCGGTGGGTAACTGATGTTGTCTGTTTATAATCCCTGCTTAATCTTTTTCTCTTTTTTTGTAGAAATCCGGTAGCACAAAGTACGGATGCAGCACGAGGTAAAATCGGTTTCCGTCAAGGTCGTCATGCATGGGAAGTTATCTGGGAGGGACCATTGGGCACAGTTGCCGTCATTGGCATATCCACAAAGGAAGCGGCTCTCCAGTGTCATGGCTATGTGGCGCTACTTGGCTCCGATGATCAAAGCTGGGGCTGGAACCTGGTCGAGAATCATCTTTTGCACAATGGTGATATGCAGGGCAATTACCCGCTGTTAAACAATGCACCCAAATATCAGGTTGGCGAACGTATTCGCGTTATACTCGACTGCGATGATAATACTCTATCATTTGAGAAAAACTATGAGTTTCTGGGGGTAGCGTTTAGGGGTGAGTTATTCATTAAATGTAAACGTTGAATTTGCCTTTTTAAAGAGACAAATAATACGCTGATTTTATTGTAGGTCTGCCAGATAAAAAGCTTTATCCCACGGTATCTGCTGTTTATGGCAATACGGAGGTGTCAATGGTCTATTTGGGAACACCGTTGGACGGATAACTATGAGATAACAGATGAAGCCTTACTGCCCTAAAATTTGTAAAAATAAATGCAGCTAGTATATATGTATATTCGTTTAGATTTCATTCTGCTTATGTCTAGTTTTATTAATATAAGTATAGTATAAAGTTCAAAACTATCAAACCTAACTTTTATTTTCTTTAAAAACAGCATTGGCAGCAATGGCCTTCGGCTAGGACAATACTCTGTCTATAGACTAGCTTGAGATTCGAAACTGGATCCGTTTTGTTCAATATTTTTTCATCTACCGCGGATTGCAATAATGTCTTATTTGTAGAATTTTTTGTACAAAAATATATGCATTTGTTGATTTTAGAGTACGCCAAAGTTAAAATCACATCTATTCGTTCTGTATACCAACTAAGTTTAATTGTACAAACCAAATAAATAAGTAGTTGTAATTTCATACAATGAACGGCTTCAAATCCGATCATCACACTTTCTTTCATTCTTAGGATGTCCTTAAAATTGTTTTAAACTATGCTGCCTTGCTGTTAAAACTAGGAAATAAACTGCATTTTTATAAAATTCAGGCGGATTATCAATGCTCCAGATTAGTCCTTGTATTAAAGTCCTTAATTGATAATAGACGCAAAATTCATTCTGTTTCATGCATCCATAAAATGTTTGTATATATAAGCTTTATTTGTATGCTTCAACTAGGATAAGCACGTAGCTTGTCATTTATAAAGCATTTGGTAGGACTGCCAGCAAGGACTCCGTGGCGCAACGGTAGCGCGTCTGACTCCAGATCAGAAGGTTGCGTGTTCGATTCACGTCGGGGTCACATTAGGATAAACTTTTTAAAGAAAAGAAAAACTTTTATGAAAAGAAAAAGCAGTGTATAAATTTACGTATTAACGTTTTTTATTTTAATTCAAGCATAAATTATTAACGTTATGAGTAGATATTGTTCGATATTCCTTTTAAGAAATATTAAAAAATGCATATAATTTTAACAATGTTCAAATATATATTTTATTAAATACTTTAAGCAGATTTTGTTTTGGTGCAAGAACAACAATTGCAAAATGAGCATTCATTTCTCTATTTTAAATTTATAAGTTGAATTCGATTAATATACATATTTGTTTTAAAAAATACATATGTATTCATATAAATAACAAGCAATTCGAACGATTCCATTTGTTTACAAATTTGTATGTGTTTTGTTCGTATATGTAAATGTATATATGTATATATATGTATATATATTTATCAATTTATATGTGTAGATTATTTTTACGAATTTTAGCTTAATTGTAAATTCCCTAAACGGTTTGCAATGATGTCTCATTAGTTGTTCCCTTATTGCATACAATGTATGTATGTGTATATAAAAAATATGAATTATTTATGTGCCATAATTTGCATTAAAAATGAACAAACGTATTGTATTGTAAAACTACCGACACCAAAATTCGCGATGCTTTCGTACGTATTTTTTGCATATTTAGCTAACCGAAACTAAAAATTTCAACCAAATTTGTACACAAGTCAAAAAAAAAATGTATATTTTTATTTGCTATTGACTAGATTTAGGAACTCCTCGCGCGTCTTTGGATCATCGCGGAACACGCCAAGCATAGTCGAGGTAACAGTTTTGCTATTGATTTTCTGCACACCCCGCATGACCATGCACATGTGTCTGAAAGAGAAAGCATACAAATCGGTTAAATAAATTATCTAAATGTGGCCATAGAAAAGTTGGATGAATCCGTTTCAGTTGGCTAATAACTTCTCTGTGTGTTTTGTTTAATTTTAGTACAGCTCGCATCAAGAGCATCGGTGGTTCAGTGGTAGAATGCTCGCCTGCCACGCGGGCGGCCCGGGTTCGATTCCCGGCCGATGCAAACCAATTTTTTTGTTTTTATATATACAAATGACGATTTTTTTTTTTAACTCACTAAACAAACAATATGAAAGACTACTATTATATTATGTTGTGTACTTACACGCCCTCGACAACGACAGCAACTCCAGCTGGCTGCACCGCTTGAGTCACAGCAACGGCAATTTGCTTGGTCAAACGCTCCTGGACCTGAAGACGACGCGAAAATATTTCCACAATGCTAAAACATACAAACAAGAAAGAAAGAGAATAACATAAATTTTAAGTTTGGCTGTGCTACTGTACAACTTACCGAGCCAGCTTGCTAAGTCCTAGAATCTTATTGCATGGCAAATAGCCGATGGACACTTTGCCATAAAATGGCACCAAATGGTGTTCACACATTGAAAACATTTCAATGTCCTTGACAACGACCATTTCATCATGATCCTCATCGAAGACCGCGCCGTTCAGCACGTCTGAGCCACAAAGCACATACAAGAAGTAGAAAATTGTAACTATTATTTATCTGCTAGTTGATTTATGTTGATGTTGACGTTTGGCATATTTTATGCTAGATTTATTTGCTCAATAAAATGTGTGGCAATGGCATAACTGAATCTTAAGTTGAACTTTTCCACTTGACTGTTAATGTGCCGCAGCCACAGAGCTGTGCGTGCGTGTGCGCGTGTGTGTGTGTGCATGTGTATGGCTGTTGGCGCCACTTGTTGGCCATTCTTTAGGAGCTTGAGCTTTCACTACTTCAGCTTTAAATGCTGCCCACTCTTGTGATGTTTTTTTTTTTTTTGCACACTTCTCCTCGGCTTGCCTCAAGTGCTTGACGCCCACTTGACGCCCACAGCAGTTCACGCGCTCTCACGCTCACGCTCACGCTCACTCTCTCTCTCTCTCTCTCTGTTTTTCTGCTCTCCCTCTTCCCGTTACAATTTTAAAAGCTTAAGTGCGTTTCCTGTCAATTCACAGCAACTGCGCCCCACTTGGCCGCCCCACTCCCCCACCCCCACGACCACAGCACATTTGAAGCCTTTAACGGCATTAGTTTCGTTAAATTTTGGCAAGCTCTATTTAGTTAAATGTAAATTGAAGGGAGATAAAAGCGCTGTTGCTATCAATCTAACAGGCTCGAGGCGATTTACTTTCGTTAATGTCTGGCTGTTTGTTGTTGCGGCCAATTTGAATGTGACTCTGACTTTGTGCGATTGTATTTAATAAAGTGTAGAACCTGCTTTTCGAATTGACTATTTTTAAAACCGGTCTGCATACTTGCAATTCACATTCAAAACAACACAGCTTAAAAAAATTGAACACGTGAATTATACAACATATCTAATCAGATATTCGCCAGGAAATCTAAACAAAAAAAAAGGGGGGGGGGGCGCCAAGGAATTGGGCCAGAGAAGTGTCACAGCCCCGCAATGCAGAACAACTGCATTCGTTCAGTTTATAACGGACCCGACAGCTAATGGCAATTAGGTAATGCACCTGATAAAGGTGAACTACATGCGTGTGCGTGGAAGTGGGAGCCCCAAGACGTCGGACGTGATGAATCACGCTGCGAAAGCAACTAGTTTAGCTTTCTTGATGGAAATGCCCGCTTGGCTTGGCGCTGATTCATGGCAGACACTGTGCACAGGATCGGATCACTGACCCAATGCTAATTGGACACACAAAAAGTGTCGAGTGCTAATTGGACTTATGTTCGCATTGAATTTTGTGCACTTACCCTCCAGGTTCTGATCGTAGCCCTTGGTAAAGTACAGCATGGCCTTGGCGGCGCGCTCCGGCGTCTTGATCAGGCCCTGGCGATCAGGATTCTCGCCCAGGCCGCCCAGCAGCAGGCGGTACGAGCGCGCCATATCGGGCAGCAGGGCCTCGCGCGTCGGCGGCTTATGGTCCAGCTCCAGATCGTGATGAAAGGTGCAGTTCTCGTGGCCTACATAAATGAAAACAATGAAAGCAACAGAACATCAGTGTCTGTACATTTGACTCGACAATCCCTTAAGATAACCCATAAGCCCCGATGTGCCCTCGACTGCATCAAACACAGCGCTCGGGCATTCATATCAGTGTAACAAACAGGGGGCTTTGAGCTGTTATCATCCAGCAACGGTTAACGGTTAACGGTTAACGGCCGTTAGGCGAGACTTGGCAATTTTGATTGTCGGGCGCCACTTGGCAATATAATTGTTATTATTGCATTGATCTCTGAGTGGGATTGGGCATTAACCCGGCTCGGTGCCAGGCACAATAATTGATTGATTCAATGTGTGTGTGTGTGTGTGTGTGTGTGTGTAGACACGTGTCGCACAACAACAACAACAACAACAACAACAATGCATCCTACGCATCCCTAGAATCCCACTACCTGGCGTTGTCGATGTACGCGGTGTCATTGGTGTTATCGGTTGTGTACCATCGTTTTCCGGTATGCTGTTGCTGCTCTTCAGTATCAGGCGTGGTCGAATGTTGGCCACAGGCTCGTCGGTTGCTCCTGCTGCTGCTGCTGTCGCTGGCGGCACAGTGGCCGCATCCTCCGGCTGGTTAGCCGCACGGTCCATCAGCGATGAGGTGCCCGAGGTGCTACTTGTTGAGCAGACGCTGTTGTTGCGGCCACGCGACAATATATGCGCCTGCGGAAAATTGGTATCATCGATGGCATCGTTCAGCTCGCTGGCGCTCATCTCGGATAGCTGGCGTGTGAAGCTCATGTTGTGGCTCCGGATTGGTGTTTCTGTTTTTTTTTTTAGTAATTTTTTCAATGTTTGTCCGTGCACAACAAAAATGGCCGCGCAAACAGAAATTGCCAAATTATAAATACACAAAATTTAGACTTTGGATTAAGAGAGTACGGTTCGGCTTTTGGCTAACTGTGCTGCGTGTTAACGTTGTGAAGTGCTTTGGGCAACTGGCTGTCCGTTGGGCTCTGCGATGCTAATAAGAACTTCAAGCGGAGCTTTGAGCGACAAAAGCTTCGGGCGTGTGTGGCGTGTGGCGTGCGGAGCTTTGGCTTTGCGCACAGCGCACGCCTACAGTTTGAGGGCCAGTGCTGGCCAAACTGTTCACTTTCAAACTTGTTGCTTTCGAGACGGAGGTGGGCCGGGTTGGGCTGGACTGGCGCCCACTCGAATCGGCCAAGGTCCCAGTGAATACTGTTTGTTTGAACCTTTGTTTTGTTGTTTTTTTTTTGTGTGTGTGTGTTTACCCAAGCGTCAGCCGTCAGAAGTTGAACGTCAGTTACACACAAAGACAAAGGCAAAGAGAAGAATCCTGCTCTGACAAAATTCCAAATTCTCTGCAGCATGGCTCATCGAATTAAGCTCCGCTGCGATGACTTCGATGTCATTGGCGCTGTGCCACGTGACCTTTCCGTGATTAAGAACTTTCTGAAACGGGATTGTGCCGTGAAGCGTCTAATTGATATCGAAGAGAACTTTCTGAAGCGTTGCATGGAGCAGAACGCGGCCGAGTCGGCGGAGTCTAAGATGAAGGAAAAGCAAAAACAACTAGAACTAATGGGAGCCGTTCAACCAGAGCAGCGCCCTCCAGATCCATGCGCCAGCGGTACTCCAACGGATGCCAATGGGCCAAACTATTGTGATCCATGTCGGCGCAAAAAGACATCTGTCGTAATAGAAGAGGTAAGCAGTTAGCAGCACGGCATATTCCTTGCCATCTTTATTTTGAATGTTTCGCGTTTTGCAGCTTACAAAACCGGCTATTACCAATCCGGTCTATAGGCTGCCCGCACCGCCCTATTTTGATGAGGAGACCGTTATGGACAATTCACAGCCCATAAGGTTTCGTTTCCGCAGGAAGGCAAATAGCTGCGACACCGAGAAGATATCGACACTACCCTGCACTCCTACGGACAACACAAACGTTATGGTGTTGACCAACTGCAACGACATAATGGTCTGGCCCAGTCAGAAGGTGGCACAAATGAATCGTGTGCCGGTCACCCTGTTGTCGGGACCTGGAGATCTCACGGAATACATGTTGGAGGAGGAGACAATCATGTAGATGCTAATTTGGAATTGGAATATGCCTCCGTTTTCGAATAACATTTAATTCGAGCAGCACTTTTGTCAGCCATAGATGAATTGAATAAAAATTACCAAAAACCAATCAAACCAAAAAAAAAAAACACCGAAGCCCGCAAAAGGACCCAAACTTATTCAAACGAAACTTGTATGGCTTATGCAAAAGTCAATGTATATACATACATATATTCCGTACAGATATCTGTATATGCTAAGCCATATAGAAAGTGTCCCCGAGGTCCACGAAGTCAATGAACGCCCAGTATCTCGTAAAAGCCAATTTATGCACTCCGACTGTCTGAGAATGCTAATTGTAGTGGTTTTTGTATTTCGATTTCGAATTAGTGGATTTTCTTTATTTAGAGATAGAATTGTGCACACTTCTTGAACTGGGTAACTTAACATATATGCACATATAGTTAAGAGTCAGCTGTATATATACACATACATATTCCACTCAGATAGGCGGAGTTCACGCAAAAGTACAGTTAAATCTTTAAGATACATTTTATAAGGTCCCCTCGTAACTGTCTTAATGGCAGAAGTACAGTTAAATCTCGGAGATACAGTTTATAAGGTCCCCTCGTAACTGTGTTAATGGAAGAAGTACAGTTTAATCTCTGAGATACATTTTATAAGGTCCCCTCGTAACTGTCTTAATGGCAGAAGTACAGTAAAATCTGTGTAATACAGTTTATAAGGTCCCCTCGTAACTGTCTTAATGGCAGAAGTACAGTAAAATCTGTGTAATACAGTTTATAAGGTCCCTTCGTAACTGTCTTAATGGCAGAAGTACAGTGAAATCTGTGTAATACATTTTATAAGGTCCCCTCGTAACTGTCTTAATAGAAGTACAGTTAAATCTCTGAGATACATTTTATAAGGTCCCCTAGTAACCGTCTTAATGGCAGAAGTACAGTTAAATCTCTGAGATACAGTTTATAAGGTCCACTCGTAACTGTCTTAATGGAAGAAGTACAGTTAAATCTCTGAGATACATTTTATAAGGTCCCCTCGTAACTGTCTTAATAGAAGAAGTACAGTAAAATCTTTCAAATACATTTTATAAGGTCCCCCTTGAAACTGTTATAACGAATGACATAAGTTGGCTTTCGAAAAAGTACAGTAAAATCCCTAAACTGATGCCAAATACTATACATATGCGACTGAGTTCGGTCGAGTTCGGAAAAAGCACAGTTAGATCTCTGCAATCGCTTTCATCAGCTCCCTTGTAACTGTGATAATGGATATTGGATAGAGTTGGGCACAGAAAAAAGTACATTTTATAAGGTCCCCTTGAAACTGTGCATAGCTAATAATTGATAACATATGCGATAGTTGACTTAAGTTGACACTCAACTCTCTGCCATGGATTCTATAAGTAGCCCCCATGTAGCTCACAATGATACACATTCCATTGAGCTAAGTTGGGTTCAGAAAAAGTACCGTAAAATCTGTGGAATGGAATTTATAAGGTCCCCTAGCAACTGTGACTAACTGATGGCATATACATATTCCTGTGAGTTCAGAAAAAGCACATTTTATGAGCTCCCATCAAATTTGATCCTGAAATAAGAAAGAGTACACTGGATTGTATCAGATCCCTTGAAACTGTGCAAATCGATGAATTAAGTTGAGACAGTAAAATCGCAGCAATGGATTTTATAAGGTTCCCTCGAAACTGGCTCGGGATGCTTGCTGAATCGATATAACAAATCAATGCCTTTATAGAGCGTGAGACAAGTGTACGGCCAACCTGTTGGCAAATATCGTAAGCATGCAATGCAATTAAGTAAGTAAGGTAAGTCATCATTAACATTTTCCACAGGGCAGGTGTTTTTTTTTTTTTTTTGTCATATAGTTAACAATTACGCATTACGGAATTCTACGAAGAGGAATGAATGAATGCTGCGCCTGTGCGGCGAGTGTTCAGCATTTGATGGATAATTCAGAATATATTTAATATCGAATCAGATAGGATTCTTGGCATAACTTATATGCTGCAATTACAAGCCAAATACCGTACTACGTGCGGGTTAAGTTTTTTATTGACCGCGATCGCTCAAATGTGAAGCACGGCGCGAAGAAACAGAAAACCAAAAGACAAAAAAATGATATATGTATAGATATATATATAGATATATATATATATAGATATATATATATGAAACCGACAAATCTAAACCGTTTTTAAACGGCAGCTCGTGTGTTGGTACTCGCGTCCAATTAAATGCTTTTAACCTTCAAAAAGTAGTACAGGTCTAGCCTCGGGCCGTCGCACTCCCGCTCCACCACGGGCTTGCGGCCAAATACCGGATTACGACGAGGAGCTTAGGCTCAAGTGCCACAATAAGCCAGCTCATAAATCGTTGAATCTGCCGATCTGCATTAAGCGACCAGCGAAACTTTCAATGTCAATGTCAATAAATCTATTACGATTAGGTATTCGTATGTCTTTTTTTTTTTTTTTTTTTGTTTTTTTGTTTAAATTGTTTTTTGATCTGCCATTGTATGGCTTCCATATACATATACATAATAATAGACTTGTGTGCGGACTTGAGAGCACTTGAGGAATTTTGGTTAGTCAGAAATTTGAGTTTCCCATTTGCGGCTTATGTGCAATTGGTTTTATGTGCCAGCATCGCCGGAAATCAGAGCTATGCATGGAGGGTCATTGCGCGAATCTGAGCTGCATTTGAACTAACTTGATCCCATCTATTTGAAGCTGTGTGATGAAATGTTGTGGCCTTATTGCTTGGAAACTAGTCTGGCTCTTGTGTTACCTGCTAGCCCGTACATTTACCACGTGTGCTAAATAAATAGAACATGGCAATAATCGACGAATGAAATGTGAATATCTGGACCAGACAAACAGACTTTGAGCTAAAGCAGGAGCTGCAATTCCTTTTTGCCATGAACCGAACCTCAAAACGAACCAATTTTCAACATATTAATCAGACGAACCAGTTCCAAGGTTTTGGGCACAGTTATGAATACACGTAGAACAGGCGCAATATTTTTATAATTCTCAAAAACATAATAACATAACCTCAACGCACGTAGTTGGTTTTAACTGTGAACACAAACAAATATTCCCTTTAGTCTTGCAGCCTTGATAAAAGTATGATAAATAATACTGTTAATTAACATGCTGTGGTGTATTTCAATCGAAGATATTTGTATGTTAACTGACAGCCATGTAAGCAGCTAATTACGGTTCATGCTATTAATGCAAAAGCTATCTGAAAGCAGGAAACGAAAACCTAACTGTACTAGGAAGCGACTGCAATCCTTTCTAGTCGGTCACACACAGAGTGTAAATACACTGGCATTTGGTCACACTCACCATTTCCGTTGCCCATGTTAAGCATTTCCAGTTTCAGCTGCTGACTGCTTTTGGCAGGAACAACGGTGCCTGCGCTGGCGGCAACTGCGGCTGGCACGATCGCGGCAGCGTCCATGGCGACGCTGGCAGCATCGGTGGCAATGTCGCCATTTTGAGTGCTACCATTTTGTTCGTTAACTTGAGGTTTCATTTTGTTATTGAAATTGGGTTTAATTTTGTGTGGTTGCTTTGAAATTAACTTAAAAAGGATATGCAAAGTAAGTTCTAGTTTGGTAGTTTTGGTTTGGTTTACTAGCGCGTACAATCGATGCTAAATTAAAAAACTAAATAACGCGTGGCTTTGGATGAGCCGTTTGGGGCCTTTGTTAGATATCAATTTGGCTGTTACTGATTGTTAATTTATTAAAATTTTATTGGTTGACGTTAATGCGCGCGCGCTCCGCTTTTATTTGCTACACCCGACTAAACGGCCAGAGATTTAGTTGTAACCTTTTTATTATGAAAAATCGAAAGTTCTTGTTCAACGAGAGATACAACTGTCGGCGACGCTGCCAGCGTCGCTTTTGCGGTCGCTTGCCTTTTGTTGCCGTTGTTGTTGCTAATACAGTAAACTAACGATAAGTCAATCAAAACACTTTTCGCAACAATTATAAGCAAGCGTAAGTTAATTAAATAAGTTGCTTATTGCTTTTTTAAGTTCAAACTCGACATCCCTTTATAATGTGTTAGGCATACAAGTTAAGAAATACAGAGTCATCTTTCTTATATCAACCGATTTCATAGTGGCAATTCCCTTTAGCGTAGGTGCACTGTAATTGTATTCGGTTACTTTTCGCTTACTTGTTGCTCTCTGAGTGCTGGCCGTGGCCGTTAGTTATGTGCATATATACGTATGTAATTGTATATGTATTATTGCAAAGCTTTTGCGCTACCCACTCTCTCTCTCCCTCTCTCTCTCTCTCTCTCTCTCGGAGTGTTTCGGGTTTAGCGCACTCTCAAGCTCACACGAGGACTACAGGAAATTGGTAGATAAAATGTTCGTAGTTGTTAAGAATCTTGGCTGAATGTCTGAAATCTCAAAATCGAATATAATTTTCTTAATTGTTAGCAAAAATGTTTTGCAAGCAATTATTTGCGCAAACAAAATCATTAAGAAACCGTTTTCGCTAGCGATAGCAGCTTAATAAATATAATACGTACATTTGGAAATACTTATTCGTATATTTTATGTTATTCCATGGCATATTGGCTGCGCATCAATACAGGGCATTGACAATTATGGATAGATCGCGTTTGAGTTTTTTCAGGTTAAATAAAACCGTGCTCAAAGTACAATCAACTTTTCAGGAATCATTTCAAAGTCGAGGGCCAATTGCAGCCATGGACGATAGCAATGGAAATTTCGATTAACTATCGTCATCGATTTGACATAATCGATAACAACAACATTGGCTGGTCGCCGCCTTGAGAGACAGCCGCAGTTTGGGCATTTGGGCATTGAGTCATTCATCTGGGGGAATGAGCAACCGCTAAATTAATAATATTAATTATCAGTTAATAAGGCATTTACGTCAGTTTAGCCTGGCCAAGTCGAATGATGAAAAAAACCCGCCCCAGCCAACCAAAACTTTGACTTTTCAATTTTGTTTTTGCTGCTCCGTTTAATGGCATTCAATGCCATTAGCTGGCAACAAATTCAACATTTATTATAATTATTCTCGTACAGACACAAGCATGCCCAGTCGAAAATCAAATACATTGCGGAAGGAAGCCGGCGCCAGTCAATTGATGAGCCGGTTTGCAATACCACGCGACGTTTATTTCGATTACAGCTCCTGCACCTCGCCACCCACTCCTTGCTTTCCCTGCGCCTGTCGCTCCAGTTTCTCCTGCTCCATGCTCTCCAGCTGCGCCAAAGTCAGCAACGATATGCCCAGCTGATCTTCCCGCGAGAACGGCTGCGCCATGCGTCTCAGCCAGCGGCGAGCCAATTGCACAGCCTCCTCAGTACTTAAATTGCAGAAGCTGTCCACCAGATGTTCCTGTATCCACTTGGGCAGACGTGACCGCTTGTCCTGTCGCGAGAAACGTTTGTCTGCAAATATCATGATACCATAGTCCGTCTTGCCACGCAACGCTCGGCCCACGCACTGTGCTGCATGCCGCATGGCATCAAAGGTCAGAAAGTCGTTCTCTCTGATCTGAAACTGATCGCGCAGGTAGTCCAGACGCGCCTTGAGAATGCGCGACTGCGTGTAAACGTAGGGTATGCCGAACATGAGCACCGCGCGACCATAGTGATGATCGAAATCCACACCCTCGGAGACCTTGCCACGCGCCACAGCTAGCAGAACAGCGCCTCGACCGCAATCGCAAGCCTAAACGGAGATACAACGAAGATCGAGGTAAATGTGTGTCAAGCACATCGTGGAAGCCATAGCAGTTGGAGCTGTGCTTCTGTTGCGGACAGATGATGGGGCTCACCTTAACATAGTTCATGAGCGCATAGCTTGTTTCGGCATTGTCCTGGGTCTCAATGAACAGCAGCTTGTAGCGCAGCAGAGTGTCGACAATGCCCTGGTCGTACCAGGATGCCACAACTGACTCCAAGTACAAGTATGACGTAAAGAAGCAGACAATGCCGTCGGGCACTGTTTTAGCCACTTCCACCAAAAGCTGGCCATAGTTCCTTATGACAGCAGTGTCCTCGCGCGTTTCAAACTTTGACGAAATGGCCACCTGATCGTTGCCCTTCGATACAATCTGTTCAAAAAATAAGTATAAATATACGAATTGAAATTCCCCAAATGTTGTTACCATCGGCAGCAGACAGGGACGAGCCAATGTCATTGTAAAGCTGCTCATAACAACTGGATCAAAATCAAGAATCTTGGGATACATATCCATCGGAGACAGCGTGCCCGAGGTGATTACAACTGTTTGAAAGCGTGAGAATACTGGCGCCATGGCAATGGATGAGTCCAAACAACTAAAATGCATTATAGGATTAGAAACAGTCGGCGTCTTGTCATCGAAAGGCTCTATAATGATTGTAAAGCCTTTCGTGTACGTTGAAACCAGGGTGGCGAAATGCGTTATCTGTGGGCAGTAAATGGACTATTAAATCGAATTCAACAACAGGTCACAGGCTAACACATACCAGCGTAAGTGCGCCATATTCAGTTAAGTCGCTGATCTCAAGAGTGCGCAACAAGCTGGACAAACGCTCGGCACAAAAGCGCAGGGGTTTGCGCTCTATGCATATCTTAGATGAAACATCTTTAAGAAATCCGGCAGGTGATTCTTGGACCACGTGATGCACACGCAGCCGCGTTTTTATGTATTCCACAAAACGACGCAAGAAGCTAAGAAAGTGATCCGCATTGCGTATATTGCCCGGCACCACCTCCTTGAGCACATCGCTGGGCAGCACAGGGTTTGCCAATATCATATCCGTGTCCCGCTGTACGCTGGCATCCTTGAGGCCCTGCACCATACGCTGATACTCCTCATTCAATCGGTTTGTGTCCTCTTCCCGCATGCTACAAAACGTAATGAATCAGTTTTTCTAGATAGTTAAGGTTTTCAACTTACTCCTGCACCAATTTTGTGAGCTGATTCAAGGCGTTCGTGCTGCGCTCCACAATACGTCGATTGATCTTCACGCTCATCGAGTCAATGCACACATTGTCAATATTGTGAGCCTCATCAAATACGACGCAGGCCTCGCGCGTCATCTCCTTCGACACGACCTGCGCTATTTTCGGATCCAGAAGATAATGGTAGCTGTAGACCACAATGTGCGCGTGTGCAATCTGGCAGGAAAAGGTCAATCAGTTATGACACATATTTTTGGGTTCAATTTGTTACGCACAGCATAGCGTGCCAGAAAATAGGGACACCAATTCCTTGAACGTCCATATTCTTTTAGATCATCGAGACTGTATATGCCCACAGGCAGCGTCGACTCCTTGCCCTCCAAGGTGAAGCCTTCAAAATACTGACCTACGAGCAGAATAGAATAGGTATAAAGCTTTGATCGGATTGACAGGCACTGTTTCTACTTACAAATTGGAACTTCTGCATCCAGCTCGTGATGTTCGCGTATGTAGCTGGCAGTAAGACCATAACATTTGCCATCCACCGCCTTGCCCTCGCGCTCCTTACTCACCTCAGGGTGAATGCACATGTTTTTACGTGAACTCAGAACCAGACCGGTTAAGCCCGGGGGTACGGGACAATGCCGATCATAGTAGACCATTAAGTTCTGCAACTCGGCAATAACCTTCTCAATCTCTGGGACCGTTCGTGAACAGTAAATTAGCTTGCGCACGGTCTCCGGATGCTCGATCATGTAGGCTACAATCAATGAGAGCAATGTGGCTGTTTTTCCCGTTCCCGAAGGCATTTCTAGCAGACAATGCCCCTTGGCGTCCAGACTTCTCTTAAGCTCCAGCATGTATGCATATTGCTCCGGATAAATGTATTCATAGGGAAAATAGACGAGCAGCCCATCGACGCTGAGCCTAGGAAAGTAAAAGAAGAAGTGACTCTATTCCTTGCACATTCATTATTAAAATTACTTCATTTTGCTCCAATGTGCCTACTAAAAAGATTTGGCAACAGCTGCCTGAAAGATTGTTTGTTTTTCTAAGAGCGTTATTTTGTCTAACTTCGCAGTTGTTTAATTCCGGCTGCTAAATCGACGTCCATGCCGGCACTCATCGATAACAATCGATAAGTGTACTTTTTGCATGTCCAAAATATATCGTGCACAAAAGTACGCTGTTTTTCAAGCAAAAAGTCAACCACGCAATATATGAGTAGTAAAATCGAAATTTAATGAATTTCTTTGACGCTACTAATTTTCAATTTTAATGAGCCGCCAAAGACGGCTTGAACATAAAAACAAATGTATTTTTGTTTGCGAATATCGCACAGCCAAGCGAAATAAGCAATAGAACATAGTAAAATATTTGCAGCAAAATATTGTCAGCGTACCAGTCGCAAGACAAGTTTTCAGTAGTACTATTGCATTTAAGGCTGAGTAGATGTTTTTCCAAAGTATTTTTGATATAATTTAGATGTAAAAGGATTTTCTGCTAACATTTGGTAAATAACACTAAACCCACGCCCTATGGACGACCTCAACCCGTTGGCTGGAACAGCACATCTGCTGGAGGAAGTGGATAGTATGTTTTATACATTACCGGCATAATACTATAATACTATTCATAATAATTAAACAATTCGGATTCGTAGAGAAACTTATGGTTCTACTTCGGGACGGCCGCACACTGATTGGCTACTTGCGATCCGTCGATCAGTTTGCCAATTTAGTTCTGCAGCGGACAATTGAACGGATACACGTTGGCAACCAGTACGGTGATATACCGCGCGGAGTTTTCATAATACGCGGCGAGAACGTGGTGCTGCTTGGCGAGATTGTGAGTAGAAATGCGAGCAGATTGAACAGCATAACCCTACTATGTATATTCCAGGATCGTGACAAAGAACAAAAGCTACCACTGAAAGAGATTTCCGTTGATGAGATACTCGATGCACAGCGTCGTGAGCAAGAACAGCGCCAGGAGAAGCATCGACTGGTGTCCAAAGCACTCAAGGAACGCGGCTTGGCGGTCAATGCGGATATCATCAATGAAGACTTTTGCTGAGCTGTGTCTTCGCCAGAATCATTAAAGTAAGCTTAAGAGAATCATTGATTTTTGTCAGTTGTATATTTGTACTCCATAAAAATCTATTTAAAAACTATATGTACATATGTCGCTATGTAACCTGCTTAACCATTGTGACTCGTCCCAGGCGCTGTTGCGGACTCCTCAAGCAATATGTACTTCTCCAAAACCTGGAACATTTCCACTTTTGCCTTTATTTTATGCCGTCGCGACAATTGTCGCAAATAGGCTGCCACCGATTTACAGAAGAAGTCATCCTCAGTCTCGTTGGAGGCGCTTGTGGCAGTTGGTGCGGTTACTGCCTCGAATCCGGGCGATGCTTCTGGCTTAATTGGCGGCAAATGCTCCCGCTCGACTCGCACATTCGGCACACAGACCATATAGTCAATGTCCGCCTGAGAATGGCCAGCATCAGACGGCGAGACCCCTGCAGTGCACACCGTGCCCGTCGTCGGTGCCTCAGTATGGACTGTGACCAGAGATGGAGATGGTTGCATTGTGGGCAAGACTTTCTGATCGGCTGATTCGGAATCGGCCATGTACTCTTCATATGAATCATGCCCGTCTCCATCATCCGCTTCAACTAGCACTGAATAACTTTCCGATTGCGTAGTCTGCACTTCCAGCTTGGCATCGGCATCGTAGTTGTGATCGCACTCATCGTACACTTGCGACTCATCCAGTTCCTGTTCAATGAGTGTATCCGGCTCGGGACGTGCTTTCAATTTGGGTGCTCTCACCTCCGTTTTTAGCCAACTTGTTGGCGTATCGTCACGACGGCTTCTCTCGCGACGTTTTCGCACGAACTCCCGCAAAAAGTCCATTTGCCTAAAAAAGTCATTGTGTCCGAATTCGGAGTTCGGATGCAAACGCATTTGTTTAAGCTCTCGCGAATATCGGTCGCGCAGACAAGTCCATCTGCGTCGTGCATCGGGCGATGAAATGTTTAAGGTCTCAGCCACTTTTGCCCAATCCTCTTCCTTTCTTTGCGAAAGGCGAAAGTCTCCATGTCTGTGGTCGTATAGCGATGGCGTAGAACGTATCGTATGTATTAGCGCAACATCTGAATCGTCGAGGGGTCTGTGGTGGGCGCTCATAATTTGTTAATTACTATTGAGCATTAATTTTGTTAAAATTGAGTGGCTAATGTTTTCGTTTTGCTTTCTTTCCAGTGTGACCATTGTCTGCATAAAAGAAAACGCAACGATACCCATAATAATATGGGGTAGCCCCTTCATATTGCTGCATTTTATGTGGTCTGGCAACGCCAATATCTTGCAGTTATTGCATCTTCATTATAAATTCCGAAAACTTCGATTACAATATGTTTATATAATCTCATAACATAAGAAAATATTGTTACAATTTTTAAGTGTAATCGATTAACAATTCAAGAACATATTCGATAGCGTTGCTTGACAATTCAATATATCAAAATATGTGTGTTTTATATCGATATAGCCGATAAGTTGATTTAAGAAATAAGCACCCCTACTATCGGCAGCCATTTTTTCACGCTTTCATGCGAAAAAATTGTGAAAATTCAAGTAAAAAGTTGTAAAACAAGCGTAAAACTAATTTATAAAGATCATTTATACTAAAATAGTATGCGAATTTGAATTCTGTGCGTGCGTGTAGTGGTGAGCATTGAAATGAACATGGAGACGGTCGTCGCTTTCAATAATGAGGTAAGTTGAGGCCGCTGCCACAGACATGTACACACATACATATATACATATCTATATCTGCCCATACATACCTCGGTATTTACATACATGTCTGTATGCGCCATATGTAGTTGTGTAATTTGGACCGTACACAATTGTAATCACGCCAATTTACACATGTAAATATTAAATGTTGGCAATACAGAAATCTCGTGTCCTGCCTTGGTCCACACACTGAACTCATATTCTTGACCATCTTGACATGTACATGTATTTATTTTTCAGCTCTCCGGGCTCTATGATAGCCGGCCGCCCATATCAAAGGCTAAAATGGCCGCCATCACAAAGTCGGCAATGCGTGCAATCAAATTCTACAAGCATGTTGTGCAGAGTGTCGAAAAGTTTATACTCAAATGCAAGCCGGAGTACAAAGTGCCGGGCTTGTATGTCATAGACTCGATTGTGCGACAGTCGCGGCATCAGTACGGAACCGAAAAGGACGTATTTGCGCCACGCTTTCAGCGCAATCTGACCGAAACGTTTGCCAATCTCTTCCGATGCGCGCCCGAGGATAAGAGTCGCATCATACGCGTTTTAAACCTTTGGCAAAAGAACAATGTCTTCAAATCGGACGTTATACAGCCAATATTCGACTTGGCCGACCCGAATCATCCCATTTATCACCAAATGCCGCCAATCGTCGGACCGGGCAACCTCAACACAGGCCCAGGGCCCAGCGGCAGCAGTGGTGCTCTAAATCTGTCGGATATTTCCAGTAACAATGCTGCCAACGGCCTTAATACCTCTGGGATGAGCAATATGGACCTAAGCTCTGCTACCGACGACAAATTGGGTGGTGCCATGCCGGATTTGTCGGTGAGTGGGCTCTGAACGATTATCACATTAGTGAAAAAGAGACTGGCAATCAATATCGCATAATGACTAATGTTAAGGCTTGTGAGCCACCATGACGAGCTATACTCATTGCCAGGCTCCGGTGCAATATTATAAGTTTATGTGTGCGATGTATTCGAATGCTAACCCAATTGCCATTATTTTTTTGTTACTCTTACCATTACTCTGTTCATGTCTTGCTTGCCTAATGCGTGAAAATACACAGCTAAGCCATGAGAAGTGCTCGAGTTCCAGCCGACGTCACATGGAGCAGCATTATATGAAACGCCAGCAGCATCAGCATAGCATGGCGTCTAGCGTTTCTATCGTATCGAAGAGCCGCTTCGATAGCGTGGGCCCCAGCAAGTCGCATCACCACAAATATGTCAAAAGCAGCAGCTCGCACGAGCTGGAATACGATGTGCGTGAAATAATTGACGATGAGGATGGTGACATGCTGATGGGTGAAGATCATCATTGTATGGGCGACGACTCGCCGCCTGGCTCATCGAATTTGCTAGATGTATGCAAGGGACTTTCTGTTATATTTAACATTTTGTGTTTAGCTTTAGTTTATTTAGTTTGTTATTTGCAGTTTTTTTTAAATTAATTTATCCCATATATATAATATACACCTTCCTTTGCAGAACAACAATTTGAAGCAGCTGCTCAATGATCCCAATGTGCTGCGCCAGCTGCAGACGCTGCAAAACTTTCAAAAATTCAAGCAGCAAGAGGAGAACCAAAAACATCGCTACCAGGATGAAGCACTGCAGCAGCATTTGCAGAATGTTCTTAAGGTGTGTGCGCGTTCGACCCTCGCATTTTTTATAACCCAGACAATTAACTCTCTGGGTTATTCTATAATACAAATATGTTTAATTTCAGGGCACAGCCGGCATGCCGCCGGGCGTAGCTATGGGAATGGGCGGTCATAACGATGTGACGGATATGAACAAGGACGTGGAATTCATATCGGAACAGCAACCCATTGAGGTACGCTCACATTCCTTCAATTCTATAGTTTCATCAAGCAGGTTAATGTGTGCATTTTTGACTGATCCCACAAACTGACATCAATCAAAACGGCAAACAAAGCTTGCAATTTAGTAGTTCTTGTTAAATATCTATTGATATATAATTAAATTCAAAATGCGCCCATGAAATCGGAACTAATCGGAATTGAGAAATTAGTTTGCAAACAACTTACATAGTTCCGGATTCATGGTGCCAAGTGCTGCTGACGGGCCCAAACTGTTGTTATACCGGGCGGAGGATTGAATGTTCCGATTGATAAACTCGAGCTGAGTGAAAAAAGAAAGAAAAAGAAAACGCATATACAAAGAATGGGGAATAATTAAGAAGTGTACAAACGGGTAGCACTTATTAATGTTAATAATTATAAAAACCGATTTAAAGAGCCCGACTTGATTTGCCTTGCTATTAAGTCTGATTTTATGGTTTTGG